AACAGCACTATCCACAAGCCACTCTTGGCACCGCACTGCGCATGCGCTTCTCGAGGCACAGTACTGCGCATGCGTAACCCTCTGCACCGCACTGCGCAAGTGCAACTCTCGACACCGCACTGCGCATGTCCTAACCTCGGCACAGCAGTGCGCATGTGTCATGCTTGGCACCGCACTGCGCATGCCCGAGCCTCTACAATGCAATGCGCAAGCGCCACTCTCGGCATAGTACTACGCATGCGCCACTCGCTACACAGCATTGCGCATGCCTCAGTCTCTGCACCGCAATGCGCATTCGCCATTCTCGGCACCGCACTACGCATGTGCGAGTCTTGAGAAAGCAGTACGCATGCACCAGTTTCGGCATCTCACTGCGCAAGCGCCACTCTCGGCAGTGCAGCGCGCATGTGCAACTCTGGCGACGCCAATACGCATGCGCCAATCTTGGCACCATATTGCGCATGTGTTACTGTCTACGTTGCACTGCGCATGCGTCACATTCGGTCCGCACTGCGCATGTCCCAGCCTTAAAACTGCACTACGCATGCGCCAGTCCCGGCACCGATCTGTGCATGCGCTTGTTGCGGCAAGGCACAGGCAATCGTCGCGGCCCCCAATGTGCATGCGTCTCTCTGTGGCACAGCACTGTGCATGTGCGAGTCTCCGGAAGGCGCTACGCATGCGCCAGTCTCGGCACTGTGCGTGGAGCAACGTGCAGAGATGATTTCGCATGTGTATTTTCGGGTACACACCTACGCATGCGTTATTTTCGGCTCCTCATTACTCATGCGACGGGCGCAGGGTCCGCTGGTAGCCAGAGTAGTCTGTTCTAGAGGTGGGCTCGAGTGTCAGACCGCCCGAGGAACTGGACAGGGAGCACAACGGATTGGAAGAGAGCAAAACATCGCTGAGCCAGCGGTCCAGGAGTTGACTGCTCGCCTGCACCTCAGCGATTCCTGGAAATTGATGCTCTTTGTAAGTTTTCTGGCGCATGCGCACTATTGCGTGGAGGACAGTATAACAAAGTTTGGCGGATTTGCTGCGCAGAGCGACGAGAACGTATGTACGTACACTTCCGCGTGCCTGCGCGCATGCGTCCTGCTGCCTGCGGCACCAAACACACACACAGCCGCAATTCCACCGATTGGCCACGAGGGGGCATTAGAGACCGCGGCTGTCACCTGCGCCAGTTCCCTCAGCGCTCTCGGGTGAATCCCATCCGGCCCCATGGACTTGTGGCAGTCCAGCTGGACTAGCAGGTCTCCGACTGCGTCCTTCCGAATCGCGGGGGATTCTGTCCGCACCCAGATGGAACTACTAGGTCAGAGAGCAGAGTACCCGGAGGATAACTGGTGTGACCTTTAAAGACAGACATAAAAGAGGCATTCAGAACCTCTGCCTTTGCCTTATCCTCAGTGCTCACATTCCCAGCCTCATCTGGTAAAGAATGGAGATTCTCCTGAGTCCTCCTCTTACCACTGATGTATTTGTAAAAGAGCTTCTTGTTCCTTTTAACCCCAGCAGCCAGGTTGAGTTCAAGCTGGGCTTCTGCCTTTCTAATTTTCTCTCTACACATCTTAAGAGCTTCTCTGTACTCTGAGTTGCCTGTCCCTTCTTCCACAGGAGGCAGATTCTCTATTTCTCCCAGAGACTCAAGAATAGCTCCCTATTCATCCATGCAAAAAACTCAAGTCATAAGCACCAAGCTCCTCAGCTCCAGCCAAACCAACCAACCGTGCCTACGGACAGGCGGAATGCTTAAATAGGACAGCCAGTAAAAATGTCAAACAAAGTGCCCGATTCTCAGCCTTCTCATTCCTTTTTGAAAATCCAGAGGTCTCTGTGTTAGCTCCACCATTGGCCTGTAAAGCCCAAGCTTGCAGTCTGTTGGCAGTCCTTGTTACTACACAGCAGAGAATTTAGATTGGACTGAATTTTAGGAAGCTGTTGCACCAGATCAAAAATAGTGCTGCCATGAGAGATGAAGTATGGGCTAAATAAAAATTGCTTTTTTCCTAAAGAACAAAATTAATTCCTCTATTCCAGATTACAGGAAGTATTAAAGTGAAACAGGATGAGCAGAAAGCAGGGACAGTTTAGCATTATCTGCAAATTAGCACGGGACATCGCATGAGAACGGCTTCAGTTCTAGAAACCATCCAAACTGAGGCAACAGCAAGGCTGTGTGTTATGCCACAACACACCTGATCTCCAGCAGCGCTGTTTGGGAAAGCTGACACTGCAGATATTCCTGTCTTTGACTGGACGCACAGTTACACAGCGTGAGGATGACTGAATCCATGAACTCCTCAGATTTGCTTTGAGGCATTTAAAAAATAAGCTTGCTCAAGTAGTCTACAACAAAATCAGCAGGCTAGTCTACAACAAGAAGAAAAACTGCTCCGTGCACATGCCCACAAAGGCCAACGCCACAAAGAACTGTGATGCCCCAACGCTGCAGCGCATCGCAAAGACTGCACCGACACGCGGGAGCCTCTATGACAAGAGCAGTGCTCTAGGAGCAGCACGAAAAGCTGCATACCTGAGGGAAGTAGGAAAGATGCCAACAGCCTTCCAGCTTTTTTTTCCCCTCTCTTCTCTTTGCTCAAAGCTTTCAAACCTCTCTTTTGCTTGTTCAGCGTCCTTGTGTCAGAGAGCTGCTTCTTGTTCTCCTTAGAAAGCTTTTTGCTGTGAGAAATGACATTCTGCAAAGAACAGAGAGGGACAGATCCCACCCTTAAACCTTCCAAAACAAGCAACATTGGAAAAAGATGCACCTGAGAAGCTGCTTTCTTGCATGTCAGAAGCAAGGTACATCTGGGGCTGCTGAAAGAATGTCATTTGTTACAGCAGTGAGCTCTCCATTTTGTCCCCAAATTCCTGAGTTTGTTGAAAACCTTAGAAGGACTAACTGCTCTGAGCAGGTATTACTGTCAGATCTGGTAGTGTCCTGAAGATGCTTGAGAACGCCTTTCTTTCTAAACTGGGCTTAAACCCCAACCCCTGTTTTCTATTTTGCTGCCTCACTGCCTCTACATACTATGAGAACAATGGCACTTTGTACTGCCAGCATCAGCCCAAGAGTTGGAGCCTCCTTTGGAAATCAACTTTACTGCCACAGTTCACATTTCACACCAGGTCAAGCCTCGCACCACACTATTGAGGACCAAAGGAAAAGGTGCCAGAACTTCAGCTTGTGCATCAGTGATGCTGTTGTTTTTTTGTGAAATAAATTGTCAGCCAAGTGACAGGGAGGGCTTCCATCAGCCAACAAACACCAAGCAGCCTGAGTATGTTTTCTGCTCTGAAATCACCTCCACCCTCTGCTACAGCATCCAAAGTGTGAGAAATTATGATATGAAAGTTTGTGACCAATGTAACCACAAGTGAACAACAAAACAGTTCTCAAAACTTTTCACCATTCAGTCTGCTGCCTTGATGGGGTCAGTGCAGTTTGGTGTGGGTTTTCTTTTCTGCTCTTTTTTTTAAAACGCTTCAGATTTTGTCTCTTCTTCTTCTTCAACCATCCTTCTCGGGATACACACTAAGTAAGCAGAACAGAGTACCAACTTACTGGGAGCAAAACCTGTAAGTCTGGGGGAATATTTTCCGGTGAGTCAGAACAGCTGAGACCCGAGGCCAGGAGCTCTTTGTGCTGACTGCTGCTGGCCTCGATTCATTCTGTTGGTCTCCCAGCAGTGCACTTCCCACTCATGAGCCCTGGAGGTAGTGCCTCTTCCGCAGGCCCGCACTGTAATGTTCCTTTCTCAGAGCAGTGTGGCTGTGTCCTGTGCACACTGCTGCTTACTGGCAGTGCTCTAGCTGCTAACAACAGACATAGAGTCTGAGGGACTCAGCAACTTCTTCACCTCTGTCTTCTCTGTTAACTGCTCGTCCCATAGTCCTCAAATGTTATGCTTGCTAGAAAGGGGTTGGGGATGCAATACCTCCCCACACACATAATGTGAGCAAAGATCAGCTGCAGGACCTCCTGAGGAACCTGAACATCCACAAATCTGTGGGTCCCTATGAGATGCAACACAGAGTCCTGATGAATTTAGCTGATGTAGTCACCACGCCACTCTCAGTGATATTTGGAAAGCTGTGGCAATGAGGTGAAGTTCCTGGAGAGCAGAAACAAGACATCAGAGCCATTTTTAATACGTGTAAAAAGGATGACTCAGGAACCTACCAGCCTGTCTGTCTCACCTCTCTGCCGGGAAGGATCTTGGAGTAGATCCTCATGGAAGCCATCCTAAGGCACGCAGAAGGAACAGAGGTGATATGGGAGAACTAGCATGGCTTCACCAAGGGCAAATCCTGCTTGACAAGCCTATGGCCTTCTATGATGGTGACATTACATCAGTGGACAAGGGAAGAGCCACTGATGTCATCTGTCCGGACTTCAGGAAGGCCTTTGAAATGGTCGCCTACAGCATCCTTCTTTCCAAATTGGAAAGATAGTGATTTGATGGGTGAACTGTTCAATGCATGAAGAATTGGCTGCAGAATCGAGTGCAGAGAGCGGTGGCCAATGGCTCCATGTCTGGGGGGACATCGGTGACACGTGGTGTCCCACAGGGGTCAGTGCTGGGGCCGATACTCCTCAGTATCTTCATCAGTGACATCGACAGTGGGGTCGAGTGCACCCTAATGACACCAAGCTGCGGGGAGCAGTGACACAGCAGAGGGACGGGATGCCATCCAGAGGGACCTGGACAGGCTGAGCAGCGGGCACAAGTGAACCTCACTGGGTTAAATAAATCCAAGTGCGGGGTATGCACCTGGATCGAGGCAACCCCCATTACCAAAACAAGCTGGGGGATGAAAGAATTAAGCTTAGTCCTGCCCAAAAAGGCCTGGGGGTACTGGTGGATGGCAAGCTGGACATGAGACCAGCAGCATGCCCTCACAGCCCAGAAACTGAACGATATCCTGGGTTGCATCAAAAGAAAGCACTGCCAGCAGGGCAAGGAAGGTGATCCTGCCCCTCTGCTCTGTGCAGGAGAGGCCTCACCTGGAGCACTGTGTCCAGATACGGAGTCCTCAGTGCAGGAGAGACACGGACCTGCTGGAGCACAACCAGAGGATGGCCACAAAAATGAACCAAGGAATGGAACACCTCTCCTATAAGAACTGAGCACATACAGATGGCAATTCTGGAGTCATCCTCCCAGTAATCTTCAAATTAGGAACATAAAAAGAGTTTTTTTCTGCTTCTTTCCATTTAACAGCCAATGAAGGTGTCTAATTTCTTGAGTTAATCTGATTGGATTTGGAACTAATTATTGGTTTTGGCCTCTATGCTTCCTTTTGCCTAAGAATTCTGGAGATTAATTCATGCCCTGCATGTTTATTCGTTTCAAACCTCAATCACTGTACTCTGTGTCTCTTTCCTTGTTTTCTCAGTGCCACGTATCCCCTCAGCCACCCCTTCTCAGCTGAAGAACCAAAGACTTTCGTCTGCTCTTTCTCTATGCCGACGTGTATTTCATCACCTTTAGTTTTTCCCAGCTTTTTCCAGCCTTGCTTTATCCCTTTCAAGACACCAGGATTAGAAGGGCATGAGCTCCAACAGCAGATTCAGGCGACCTTCCCTCCCATCCCCCTGCCTTCCTGCAGTGCCCTCCGCGTCCCGCGGTGCTGCTGAGCGCTGCCGGGTGGCTGTAGCACCGCGCACACGGCAACAGTCAGGAAAATGAATCTAAATAATAGAATGCGGCTTCACTGGTGACAGCAGCTCAGATTCAAGGACTCCAGCAGGCGTTCCCTGAGAAAACATTCAGCGTTTAAATCATTTTGCAGCTTCCAGTCATTGATCTGCTCTTCTTCAGTCTGATATACGCTGTCTCCAGCATGCGTTCTTACACTGAAATTCCTTCTGATCAAAGCGTGTATTTTCCATTCAACGTGCATTTCCTAACGGGGGAAAAGGGACGGAAAGAACAGCCGCTCCGTGACGGAGAACTGTCGGTCGGTAGAAGTGCCGGTCGGTCCTTCGCCGTGCGGTCTCACAGTTCCCTGCTGTCTGCTCACACGCACGGTGCGGAGCTGTACGCAGCCGGCGCAGTGTGCGCTGTGAGCGCAGTGTGCGTAGCGGACGCTGTGTGCGCAGTGTGCCCTGGGAGCGCAGTGTGCGTAGTGGGCGCAGTGTGCGTAGCGGGCGCAGTGTGCGTAGCGGGCGCAGTGTGCGCTCTGGCCCAGCCCGGCGGCACAGCTCCGGAGGCAGTGAGCACCGAGAGCCGCCCGCTGTGCTCGCAGGTATCCTACGGAGCTCCGCGCGTGGCTCCCGGTGCCCCAGCCCGGCGTGCTGACCCGGCTCAGCGCCTCACACTGCTGCCACAGGCCGGGCGCTCCATGCAGCGCCCAGCGCGGCCGCTACCGCTCATCTGCGTGCGCACGGCGAGTCCACAGCGCCCACAGCCGCCACAGCCCCCACAGCCCTCAGCCCCCACAGCCCTCAGCCCCCGCCGGTCCCTGCTGCCCCCACTCGCCCGCGGCAACTCCAGGCCTCAGCGCTGGACATTGGGATGGTGATGGGACAAGGGGAAAAAGGTGAGACAGGGCAGGTTTAGGTTGGATATGAGGAGGAAGTTTTTCACCCAGAGGTGGTGAGGCACTGGAACAGGTTGCCCAAGCAGGCTGTGGATGCCCCATCCCTCAGGCATTCAAGGCCAGGCTGGATGTGGCTCTGGGCAGCCTGGGCTGCTGGTTGGCGACCTGCACACAGCAGGGGGTTGGGACTGGATCAGCACTGTGGGCCTTTGCAACCCAGGCCATTCTGTGATGGTGTTCTTTTGATATATAGGATCTTGAATAATTTCAGCAGCTTGACTATTTGCTAACTTTTTCTATATTTTGTTTTTGTTCTTCTGTTCGTGCTGACCTTTTTAAATAAAATCACAGAATCATTATGGTTGGAAAAGACCATTAAGTTCAAGTAGAACTGTAATAAATGAATGTCTTCCTGTCCAGGCATGGTAGATGAACTGCAGCTGCACTTAGTGTCCTCTGTAGCCACGAACGGCAGAAAGACTAATTAGTCATCAGTACATTTTTCTAAATGCACATCAGAATATTTTCTGAACACTTTTCCTGCTTAGTTAAATCAAATATTATGCTTATAAATTAATACGAGACTTATACTACTTCCAGTTTGTCTTTTGTTCTCAGTGTGTTTAGGGAGCAGCTTTTATTCTGTTGCAGCTTAAAGAATTTTTGATGTTTCTTAGACATGTTGGCTGTCATTGTTCGTGCCTTCTGTTCTCCACTCTCTATGCTTGTCCTTGCCAACAGTTTGTACTCATTAGTATCACATTCTGAGGTTTTCTTGGTTTCAGTGTCTGCTTCTCTGTAAACAGACCACTGTCAGAGAGTCCTTTGGGCTTCATTACCCTTTATGCCATTATTCACTTAAACTCATCCACATTTTAGTGGGATTTTCCTTCCCATGTAGGATACAGAAATCCAAGCATTTTACTTGCTTATACTTTAGAAAGAAGATTGAGATTTATCCTCTTGATGTTCTGTAATCTTGAGTGTTCCCAGTCACGCTCTTTTAGACTTGGATATTGTTTGATGGTTTTGCATGAGTGAAGCAAATGTAGCCCATGGGATGATGTGCAACAACAGAATGTCGTCGGTAACCACAGCTCATGGCACGATTTTCTTTCTGCCCTTGAAAAATGTATGTCTTCCTGCATTGAGCAGAATGTGCATTAACCTTAGCAATTAGCCGTGGCAGTTAATGAGCTCTGTCTTGTTAAGCAGTAAGTTGATGTCATAGCAGATGCTGGAGGTAGCAGTTGTCACTCACCACACTGAATTACAGCGCAGTGCCTTCAGCAAGGCTCCCTGTCTGTTCATTTGCTATTTAAATGATGTTGTTTTGCCATTGCAACTACAGGATGTTGTGCAGAGTTCTTCCATTCCCCAGCCCCACCACAGCCCAGCAGAGCAGCGCGGGCTGTGAGAGATGGGCAGCTCACACTGCGTGTCAAATTCTGCGCAGAGAGCTGCACGTACATCCGTGAGCAGTGCTGAGCAGAGATTGAGATGTCGCAGGTACGAAGAAACAAAATTCCTTCAGCTGATAAAGACCACAGCTGCCAAGGGATCCATTTCACTAAAGCAGATTAAAACAAGCACAGTCCTGTGAAGTTGTCAAGAATGAGAGAATTCATTTCAAATCAGGAAAATGGAGTGTTTTCCAGTATGAAGGCTCAGTTCTCCGTCTAACATGAAGACAAACCAAAGAGCCAACTTTTGTATATTTCTGACTGCGGGATGATCTTTGTTTCATTGTTTGAGGAGGCACTGGTTGCTTGCAGAGATACAAATCTTCACACACAAAAAATACAGACAGAAAAATATTTTTCCAGAATTAGTGAAGTAATTTAGTAAACTCTACAGCATATTGCACAGCTCCAGGAGAGGCAGTGATTGAAGTGGTATCTGACAGCTTTTTACTTTCCAAAAATATGTTGTGTCAGGTTACCAGTCACAGCAAGATGTGCACATTTGCACTCGATAGAGAAACCAGTTCTGAATTGTTAGCCTCAGTTTTTAAATGAAATTGGTGATCCCTCTGTTTTACCATCACTGACAAGCATCCCAGAGATACCAGTTCTTGTTCTGATGATACCTCAGTCAGATGGAAATGCATTTCTTGCTATTTTCAAGGCCTGCAGAAGTTCTTACTGTGAAGTGCTGGGGACAGTCAGAGATATGCAGCTTTTCTCCTTGGCAAACAGAAAAGAGCTGCATGTTGTGGCTGAATACAGCACACCAGTTAGGAGCCATGCACACAGCCCTGGGTTCTGACCAGAACTTTGCTGTGTATACCAAGGGGCAGTTTCAAGATTTGGAGAACCTTCTGGGGGGTTGCACAGCCATGAGAAAAAGGAATTTATCCTAGTTCATACTGAAAATGTATGGGCAATTATACAGCCACTGCAGAAACAGGAGCAGTAAGTTCAGAGTTTTACTCAGCAGCTTCTGGAGATCACTGCTGTGCTGGAGATTTCCTGCCGTGAACCTGAGCTGTGCAGGGGGATGGTGTCACACAGCTCACCCATGGGCCAGGGGTAACTCTGCTAGCAATATTTTTTACTGCTTCAATTACATCTCATATTTTCTGTGCTTTTTTATTTTTTAGTTGAGCCCTTTTGTTTTCTGACTTTATGCACTTTCATTTTCCTTTGTGTGGGTTTACCTTATATTATAGACAAATGCTCTGACAAAAGATACAAAAGTGTAATTCACGATTGTCTGCTGTGATCTCAGGTCACTTTTTGGTGGGAAGAGTCTCACTCTTTACTATTGTTTGTTGCTTTTTCTTGCTCAGATGCCAATGGGTAAGTGCATATCCACTACCAACGCACAGAAGCCATGAATTCCAGAAAATTACTCTCAGAAACACAGAGAACATTTCCAGCTACTAAAGCGTGCAGCCAGCAGCCATCACGGATTCTCATTGTGGACGTCACGTCACCTTCCTGGGCCAACACTTGTTCTGTGCTCTCCGAAGCTCTGGAAAACTCTCTGTGTTTGGCATGCAGTCTGACGGGTCCCTGCCGCATTCCCTTGCTGAGCCTCTACCTGGTGCAGACCCAGCAGGAGTGTTTGCTTCCCTTTGTGGTATGTGTGAAATTATGTCTCTTGGGATCTCACAAACATGAGTGCAATACAGTTCAGTAAAGAAAGTTCTGATTTACTGCTCATTTATATCTAAGTAATTAATCATTCTCAAAGAGCAAAGCTTCACAGACTTAATGGAAGAGATCAATTTTCTGAAAGAATGATGTTTGTAAGGAGGAGTCTCATGTTTTCAATCTGTGAAGTTGCCCTTGTGCATAAATGAGTTTTTGTACTGTTCCCTTCTATACTGCTGTACTTCTCCAAGAATCACACGGTCACATAACCATGGGGGCTGGAAGGGTCCTCTGGAGCTTCCCTAGTCCACCCACCCACATGCTCCACATGTGGTCTCCCCATGGAAGAGCAGAGGGGCCGAGCATCTCCCTGCCCTGCTGGCCGCACTCTGCATGCATCCCAGGGTCCAATTGGCCTTCTTGTTCACCAGGAGACACTGCTGGCTCGTGGTCAGCCATTGGCCATCAAGACCCTCAGGTTCTTCTCCGCAGAGCTCCTCTCCAGCAGCCCTGTCTCAACCTGGAGTCTCTGTGTCTGTTCCTCCACAGGTGCAGGGCCCTGCGATGCCTATGTTGAACCCAGCAGGTTCCTCTCCACCCAACTCTCAGCCTGCCCAGGTCTCACTGAATGTCAGCATGGCCTTCTGGTGTGCTGGCCACTTCCCTCAGCTTTGTGCCACCAGCAAACTTGCTGAAGGTGAACTCTCTCCCTACATTCAGGCCATTGATGCAGATTACAAGATGAAGAATGAACTACTTCTCTGTTAATAATTTCTCCCATTAGTTAATCATTGTCTCTGCGAAACTTGCACCTGGTGACTAATTTGCATTTATTGGCTTTTGCTTCCAGGGGTTTGTTCATGTATTTCCTCTTTTGGTTAGATTGAAGAACCTGCTTGTACCATATTCTTTCTTCCTCAAATAGCTTTCCTTGTAATCTTCTAACTGGAAAATGAAAGAGACCAAAATATAAGTGTGACACATTTTTACAGTCTCTTAACTCCCAAACCCTTATCTGCATATTCACTCTTCTGGCTTCTTCGAAGTTGATTCAGAATGTGGTCACTGAGATTTCATGCTACATTTCAGCACCATCCTCAGCAAAGCTGTATGGTAAGCTAAAAATACCTCTTCTTCTTGCTTGGTTGGTAACGCCATCAACTCTTTTTCCATAATGTTGTGTTCCTCTGAGACTTGCTCAAGCTGGCAAAGTTTGCACTCTGGTGCAGGCAGTTCTCACCCAAAGACCTGAGCAGTACTACACACCCATTGGTAGGTGTGGGACCCCATGACTCCAGACATGGACTCTATAACTCCAGGAGGAAATCCTGTCCCCTTCTCCCCAGCTTTGCTTAGTTCTGCCTACTGAGCCATCTCTTGGGTCTGGAATATCTCCAGAGAAGGAGAATCCACAGCCTCCCTGGGCAGCCTGTTCCAGTGCTCCATCATCCTCACTGGGAAGAAGTTCCTTCCTATATTGGTGCAGAACTTGCTGTGCTCCAGTGTATGGCTGTTTCCCCTTGTCCTGTCCCTACAAACTGCTGAAAAGAGGTTGGCCACATCCCTTTGACTCTCACACTTAAAATACTTATAAATGTTAATAAGGTCATCTCTGAGTCTTCTTTTCTCAAGGCTGAACAGACCCAGCTCGCTCAGCCTTTCCTCGTAGGGGAGATGCTCCAGGCCCTTTATCATCTTTGTCGCCCTCTGCTGGACTCTCTCCAGGAGATCCCTGTCTTTTTTTGTATTTAGGACAATAAAGTACAGTAGGGTGGCTATCTTTGATGGATCTATTTTTGTTAATAATCTGTTCTTCTGCAGCCCCTGATAACAGGAGCAGATTTATATCTGTCTGCTAAATATCTGTTGCATTTCACCCTCATCTAGAAATACTGAGGCTCCGTTGCTTTTTCTGTACTCATAAATTTGCTCCTTTGTGCCAACGACACATACTGTTTATCACATAATTTTCTGATCTAGCTAGAGAACAGCTTGTTTATTCTCAATGAGAAACCAAGATAGAGCTATGTTGAGGGTTGCTTATTAGGCAAATATTATGAGGTCAGAAAACCTCCAGAGTTAAAAATAGAGGCTAGGAGAGCCCATAAGGAAGTGTCATACATGGTTGCCCTTTTCTTTGTCTTACCTGGGTGTGCATTTAAGGTATGTGTTCCTTCTCTTCACCTGTAGAAGCCAAACGCTACCAAGTCCCCAGGAAGGGAAAGGTAATGCCAAAGGGAGAGAGACCAGAAATAAAGTAAATAACCACGGAGGACAACAGATGTTGACATGTGGGGAAGTGATCATTAAGAGGACAGAAACTTTAAATGTACGAGTAAGGACTTGGAGCACCCCCATCTGATGGGTGCTATTCCTACAGTTTCCCAGAAGGTGGGCAGCAGACCATCACCCACAGCTCCCAGTGCATCACTGAGAAAAGTACTGAAAAAAAAACAAAGGAGAAAGACATCCACTATGAGGACAGTCAAATTAAGAAAGTGAAGTGAGTGAGGGTATAACATGTGAAGGGAGATGGGAGGAAGTGCTTCCCCTGGCTTGCAGTCAGGTTTGTTCTCTGGTTTTGGTACTTTTTCTTTGGAAGTAGCATAGTGTTGCAGATGAAAATGTTTTGCTGCACATTGTGAAATTGTGAGTCTTTGGAGCTGTGTAACAAAGGAGCAATGTCATATGTCAAGACACATCTCAGAGCCTTTGGCACTGAGCTAAGTGTCATTTGACTGGAAGAGGGGTGTAGTTAGAATGGAGTTAGCCATCCCAGTTGGTGTTTGCAAGCTTAACTTATGTCCCAGGCATGTTCCAGAGTTGAAATTGCAGTTTGCTTATACCTGCCTGAGTTCACACTTGAAGTACTGTGCAGATGCAGAAAAAATGCAGCTCTGCTGGTGTCAGGGACAGGCGGTTACCTGGACTTTGGCTGCCCAGCAGCTGAGCCCTGCTCTGTCACAGTCAGGAGCAATACTTGAGTTGAGACAGCTTCTCTGCACCTTTGTGAGCTGCAGCTGCCTCCCAGGGCAGGCATCTGAACTGCAGGGAATTTTGTTACAGCACTGTGAAGAACATTGTGGTTCTCTGTTCTGTGCATGTACCCATCGTTACCAGCCCCTCAGAAGAGCTGAGATAATGGTTCAGGCATCTACTGCATTTAGAGTACAGCCAGTACAAAGCATGGTGTTTTTCTTTAAACCTGCTCATGACCTTTCCAAAGAGAGGTTTGGGCCGCCCCACCTTTCTGCTCCACCCTGTTTGCAGAGCCCTCTGAGCTGCCTATGATCACACACCTTTGCCTACGTAGTGCATAACACATCCTGAGAGGCCATGCTGTAAGCCATAATGCTCAGGAGCTGCTGAATGAAAGTGACTTCTAGCAGCAGTGCTTTGTATTGCTACAAACAGTTTTGCTATCATTCATTATCATTCTTCACCATGATATGTGATATAAGGGTTTGGCAGCCATGGCCTATAGGTAATTTAAGTCAGGCAGAGAGAATATGACCCAGTATTCTCCAGTACACAAAAATGACACGAAGCATGTGGAGCACATGGGGTTAATAGTCTGTGCAGTTATAATGTTCATCTTTCTATCATGAGTCTAACCAGCTGACCCTGGTACAGCAGCTTGAAGGAATTCAACATATACAAATGACAACTCTGGGATATATTTTGTTTTCTAAACTTGCTCTGGTAGCTCATTTTTAAAGCAAGATGGTCCACAGACCTTCCATCAACATTTGATGGAAGGTTGTGGCTGCTCCTTCCTGTAGGCATTCAAGGCCAAGCTGGATGGGGCTGTGGGCAGCTTGGTCACCTGGAGATGTCCCTGCCAATTGCAGTGGGGTTGAAACTAGATGATCTTAAAGGTCCCTTCCAACCCAAATTACTCTATGATTCTATGATTTAATCTTTGGGGAATCATTATTGTGAATCATGTGCAAATACAGAATTAGGAAAGCTTAAAACATGTCTTACTGGGTCATACCAGCAGCCCAGTCATGCATTCCCAAGAGAAGAAGTCCTGTGGAAACACCCCATCACTTTCCCCTCGCACAGCTGCTGTATAGAATGACATAATAAGAATGATAAAGGACACATTTGAGGCTATTCCCGTTGGTGTCAGCTCTGGACTTGTTACCCAAGGGTGTGTGGAACCACCTTCCGAGCATGTTGGTGCAGTCTGACCCCAAGCATCTTGTGTGCAGGTCCCAGAGGGCCAAAGTCTGATAAGTGAAAGATTATGGATATGGCAGTGGTGACCTATTGTAATTATCAGGGGTTACCAGAATACCCAGGTGTTTCTGTGCTCACATTCATCATGCTTATGTTGCAAGTTCTGCCTCTGTATCATCCAGGGTCAGAGGAGAGGTACAGAATTCCAGCATTTTGGCTAGCAGTGGGCAACATGTAGACAGATGATAACTTGGGAAATATTCATGCGTGCTGCTGCAGTCAGCTGGTTTAGATTCACATCACTGTTCGTGACTTTACAAAGCCATGTTGAAGTACATAACTCCTGGCCCCAGTCTTATCTCACTGCTGGTAATGCAAAAGCTTCTTTGCACATCATGGAAAAATAGTTCATATGATAACTTGACATTTCCAGTCTTTCGATTTCATTGAGTTTTGTTTTGCAGCACTTGAAGGAGAACTTCGCACGAGTTCAAGCCTGTATTTCAGAGCTCCGCTCACTGTCAAGAGAAGGCTGCTTCCCACAGGGGGGAAATGGAGTGGTACAGGCTGTGGAGGATGGATTGCAGCAGTTCAAACAATACAGCAGACACACAGCAGCAGGAGGCTCAGCAAATAGCTCTGTTGAGGTAAGACAACATTGGGAAGATGGTGATGATTTTCCTTTCAGCCTATCATGAGATGGTTGAGTTTGAAAGGCACTTCTGGAGGTTGTCTAGTCCATCTCCTGTGCTGGAGCAGGGATACCCAGGACCCACATCCAGAGGGGGGCTTTAAAGCCCCACTGGGAACACAGTGCCAGTGCTCCATCACCTGCACAGTAAAGAAGTGCTTTCTGATGTTTAGATGAAACATCTTGAATTCCAGTTTCTGTCTGTTTCCTCTTGTCCCAGCACTGGGCACCGCTGACAAGTGCCTGACTCCATCCTCTTTGCACCCTCCTTTGGGGTGTTTATACACATTGATACATGGATAATAAGTTGTTTTTGTACAGGTTCTAGGAGAATCGAGTAGGAAAGATGCCCTAGATTTGTTGCTTGTAAACAGAGGGGGTCTCATGGAAGATGGGATGGAAGTCTCATGACTTCAGAAGGACAAAACCAGGAGCATCAATGAAGCCGCACCAATGGGGACAGAAAACGTGGGCAGTCTGTATTAGGATGAAAAGCATTTTTCAAGTCCCCAGCAGACTTTTTTTTTTTTTGTATGGTTGAGAAGTGTAAGAGTATTAAGAGATTATTTTGAGGAAGTGTAGTAATGTGAAGAGACATCATAGTAATTTGCACAGCTATTTTTGTGGGACATATTTCTCCTGGTCTCTAACTGGCCTTTGCTTATGTGTCTCAGGTTCTGAAAAGGGTAAAGGGGACTTGATAGTCTATAGATGAAATGCATCCATGGTTTTAATTAAATAAAGGTGTATTAGTGTAACAAATGGTTTGTCTATAGCTCAGCAGAAGACAATAGTCTCTTGTAGACAGTTCAGCTTCCCCCCACTTCAAGAACAGTCCCTGTTAACCATTTTCAGTATATCCTAAATGGAGACCATAATCTTTCTTCTCTTTCAGTACTTCAGAGCCAAACACCAGAGATGCATTTGGATAGAGAAGATGTTCTTTGCTGTGGAAACATGTTTTAGTATTGATATACACATGTATATATATTTTACTAATTCCTGTTCAGCCTTTAAGTTAGACAACCAGATGTAATCTACTTGAAATACGAATTGGTGCTGTAATGGGAAGTGGTGCTTTCCCTCAGAATAGCTTAGAGAGAAGCCCTCCTATGCATACATTGTCTCTCTCATTGCCCTTTACATGCAGCTTTCAAAAGAGCTAAGGCTAAAAAAACTGTGTGTTTAGGTCTTCTTTACAAATAGATTATATACTTCTTCCATCGTATTGGCACCTTATTCAAACAGGAGGCAGCCCAACATCACTGCTTATCAACAGAGGATTAGAGTCGGAGGCAGCTGTTGCACTGTGATTTGTGTTTCAGATCACAATTTTGACAAGCCAGTCAGGCAAAGAAATTGTTAAGCAGCTGGAAAGGAAGTTAAAAGATGTAGACCTTGTGAGTCTCAGAAGAATACAAGTCACTGAGGTTTTGAAGAGAGACTTTTTGGAGCCTGAGGACGTGGAACAGTGCACACCAGCAGAAGAGCCTAGCAGCAGTGGTGAGTACTTGCAAAACTCATGGCTTTGGACAGCACTGCTTCTTGCCTTTGTCCAATACCTACATTTTCCTTTTTGCCATTTAGTGTCACTCACTTAACTGGGAACTGCTGAGACTGGAGAACAACAATAAACTTGTACCACAGCATTTCCCTGGGTGCATTATTGCATTTGGGCAGACTTAGCACATAGATTTCAGGCACCTCTTCTCTTGGTTTTACTAAAAATTGACTTCCTGTGCAGTAGAGCTTTATTGAGGAATTAAAGAGAGTAAGTGCAGAATTTGTGAGAACAGCACACACTGAGACACTCATACTGCTCAGCATTAACCTTTAGGTTTTGCCTGTGGACTACATAATCCAGTATGCCTGGAGAAGTTACATTTACAAACCACATCAAGTAATGTACTGTTGATTAGCTTTTTTTGTTGCTATTGTTTTTGCTTAGCTGCTGCTTTTTTTTTTTTTTTTTCCTGTGCTTAGGGCAGCTTTTCCCAGACTCTTAAGGTTATACTTCTTGAGTAAACAGTAAAAGCACTCATCGATGAGTTCCTTATTGCCAGGCAGCTTCTGTTTCTCAGTCCAGGTCTCCATTTTAAGGCCATTGCTGCTAATTCACACTTAAAGTCCAAATCAACAAGCCTTGATACACACAGCAGGTTCTCACAGCAGGTTGATAACAAGCTCAATAAACCTGGGGCCTGATGGCTTGCAGAGTTAGAGTATGGCCAGTTACCAGCAATGGCAGTACTTTTTTATGCAGTGATAAGCAGTGTTGGATGTTGTTGCTTTAACTGTCTCTAGCTGTTCCTTTCCAGGTTGCAGTGGTAAATTTCTGGTCCCTTGGCAGAGTAGGGGTTGGGACTGTTTTAGATAGATCACAGATTCCTTTTGGTCCTGCCCACTGCATACATGACCCCATGTTTCATTAGTGAAAGAGGTAGTTCACCTCAGGCCCTAGATGCTGTTTTTCATGTCTGTATCTTTATAGAATGCTTCCACTAATCTGAGAGTTTTCAGCAGAAAGAATTTAAGCTATAGTAATGAGAAATTCAAAGTAAGAAATTATTATTAGCTGCTGTTATGAGCCTTTTGTTACATAACAAATGATGCTGAGCTCTATATATCTGTGAGGTGGTACCCAGAAGTCCTGTACTGCAGCAGTTAACTGGCAGAAGCCTGTACAGTGCATACAGTGCCACAGTTTTATTTTCTATATTGCTTTTTATCTAACTTTCAGATCTCTTCAGTTTCTTCAGCTCTTTCTCGAGGCTGATAAAGTAAAATAGCAGGAGCTTGTGCTGCTTTTCCCTCCTCGTAGCACATCCAGATGCATTTTGCCACAGGCAACGATTGCTCTGTGCCACCTCTGCTTCCCACTAGCCTGCTGGTTAGACCTAATCCAGTACTGAGCTTTATAACCAAGTTCGGAGACATACAGCAGGCTTTTTCCTATCTGCTGAAATCTTTTTTCCTGGAAAGGAGCGACTCCATCAGAGACTGAGCTGCTTATTCTAGCCTGCCTGCTTGGACCAGAGGCTTTGGAGAGAGCTCTTCTCACTGCTGCCAGAAGGGCAGGTCTGTTTTACCTGTTTTACCACCACCTCTGGGTCACAAGGAAGAGGATCAAGGTTCTGTCACTCTGACATGGCTTTAGAATTACTTCAGTATGTCTGAGCCCCAAGGGCACCAGAACTGAGGTACAAAACTTCTGGAAGGGACTGTTGCCCACAGCTCTGAGGCTGAGGTGTTTCTAGCAAACACTGTTCTAGTCCATATGGACAGAAGGGATCATTTCAGTGGCTGCATATGCTGACTTCTTAGGTGAGGATCATCATTATCAGGGCTTTGCAATGTGCTGATGCTGCACAGAACTGTGCAGGGAGACATTGAAAAAGGAGTCATCACAAAATGAGATGTTCTTTGCCTCTTGACCACAGGACTGCTCTAGCATGCAAACTCCCACTGTCATTTCTGAAAGTGAAGTTGTGTAGCCCTTTTGTTCAATATCTGGAGTTAAAAACAGAGATACAGAGCGTAGAAATTCTACATGAAGACCATCTAACAAGAAGTAAGGATTGGGTTTTCAGAACAGCAAAGCAAATCTTCTGTGGGACAGTGACTAAGCCTATGGTGTTTATTAGGGCTTAGCAGGCTGCAGACTGGAACAAAGATAGTAAATCCCATAAAGAGACCAATACACAAGGCTTTAGCAATGGGAGTAGCATGTGGCTGTAATCAGTGGGATGCAGTGAACTGTCTTCTAATGGATAAGAGGGAAATTATTGCTGTGTCTTTCTTTCCTCTTCTCTATCCCATTATGAACACTTAAAACATCTGGATATTGCCAAACCATTTGCTAATAACAGCTAATATTTATGTCAGGCTCTGCCTGTCTTTTGGGAAAGCAAAAAACAAGCACTGAAGGTAAAGCACTGATGCCTTTTTTATGAACGCAGTCCATCTTCTGCAAGCCCCAGGGAACCTTTTTCTATATGCTCTCTGTGCTGAAGCACAACCAGCAAGCTCTCCAAGTGCATGTTCCATATCAGTGCACTTTGCAGGGAAAGCAGAACTCAAATCCTATCATCTGGGCCAGAGACAGACAGAGGTAATAACTGCTCACGTGGAGCTGTCTCCAGAGAAAAATGAGGAATTTCCTCTGCCTGGAGTATCCTTCAGCACTGCTCCAGGGAGGAACTCAAATTTCCACAAGCATTGAGAAGACTGGACAAGGCACGGTAACATTCTTAAGCTATATATAGGGCAGTCAGACTGGGACTTGAAAAGGAAAAACTCTCAGCACCAAAGACACTGTGAGGCACCTCTCGTGGTAGGTGGGCTGCAGAAATACAGCCTGCGTGAACTCAGTGCCTTCCTCAGGGCTGCAAGGGGAAGCAGTGAGTTGGCCATCATGATCTGATGGCCATACTGTAAGTTGCAGTTTGCAGACAGTTGAAGAATTACTTTACAGTCATTTCTTTAGCCCTTTCATCAATTTTATATTATTCATTATGTAGGGGAGATTAATAAATTTCCATCTTAATTTTTTTTTTAATGCAGGAGAGGATGCACAGTGTTATGCTTGCAACCCGTAAATACAAATGCATAAGGAAAAGCTTTCTCACTGCACATGAATGTAGGGCTGTATTTTAATCGTCAGCTGAACTAATAAACATTTGCAAAAAAGGGCTTTTCCTGCTACTCACTCCTTTTCTTGGAATACTTGTTTCACATCTTAGTTCTGTGCACCATAATGCTACCAGGCTCTGTTTCTCCTGTGTTTACAAAGGCTGCATTACAGACACATCATACGCGTTTTGCAAGTTGGTTATCAGACTATTTTTTCTTCTTTGACACCACTTTGGGTTATTATTTGGGAGTGTTACGGGTTTTTGTTGTTGTTGTTTCTTTCTTTCTTTCTTGAGAGGGATTGATCTTGTTGATAGCCTTCTCGACACTGCCTCCAACCTGCATTTGCCCATTTCTAAATGTAGTTGATAGATCGTATACATTCTGCATCTTAAAATGGTGGCTGAAATACTTGCTACGTCCTTGCAAGTGTTTTTAACTCCTCCTTTTCATTTATTTTGAAGAATTGTGTATTTTTATCTGCAAGGATCTTCTGCTTTGTGATTGCTGTTACCAAGCAGCACTTCAGCAGTAATGTACTGAACCACGTCCCTCTCTGTCTTGTCAGTTCCAGGTCAAGTTTTGCTTCTGTTCTGTGACTAGCTGCTCCTAGTATTGATGGTATTTAGCAATTTAATTGTGTCTGCATTGCAAAGTAAAATTCATCTTCTTTATGAGGAGTAGTATATCACTCCAAAATTCCCAATTACAGTAGCATTTCTGTTTTGCAGTTTCTCTGATTTCTTATACAGACCTTCAGCTTATAGCAATGCTCTTCTAAGAGGGCAGGCGTCACAGTGCTGTGCTGTGATTTGTGTGATAATGGCTTCTGAAACATCTCCTGTTTGAAAGCATTTGAAGAGCTAGTGGGGTAAAGTGCAGTGCAAAATGCAGAAGAATGTTCATTTTTATGACCGAAAATATGTCTGTGTGCCTTTTCCCCATTTTTCCCTGCAGATATTGCAATCCTTGGAATGGACATTGATCTGCAAACCATAGAGGATAATGTCATCAGCTTGGAGATGCTGTTTAAAACGTGGCTCCATGATTGTGGCTCAGAGAGGGAACATCTGCATCTCCTTCTTCCATCTGGAGGCCTCAGTTGTGGCACTGCACCCAAGCCAACCCTAAGTATTTCATTTTCTCTCCCTCTTTGCAGAGAGCTCCTAACTCCCATAATCTTAAAGATTACCCAGGCCTGTCCTGGACATGTTCCTCTTCATTTTTAGACTCAGATAAGGCCTCAGGGTGACACTGAAAGCTCTCCACAGTTTCTGTTTTCTCAGGCTCTTAGCCACCTGCTCAGAGTGTGTCAGGGTTGGTGGTGTGTCCCATGACTGTTGATGCTACAGTTCATTTCCATTCTGCAGCAAACATGCACTTTGAAGAGTATGTGACTTTATAGTCAATGAGTCAAATTAAAAGGAGCCTTACTCAGTGCCAGAGATCTTCTGTCTCAGCTTTATGACTCTAAAATTATGTTCCTTATGCTTGATGATAAAGGTCTGTGCCAGAGCACTTAAATAAAGGCTGTTTTTAAAAGGGGCTCGGCACATATTTTTATCTATTGGTGTTTGGTTTTTTTGTGTGTGTGTTTTCCCTTTTAAGTCCAAATTCCTAACCAATTCCTAACATTCAGGTAAGTAAGCAGAAATAGATGCTTCCCATAAGTATCTCTTGGCTGTGTTGTTACCACTGTGTTGCCATGGCAATCTGCATGTGCTCTTCCAGCAGCCCTTCCATGCTGCTCTATTGTCTCTAAGGTGTTGCCTCTCATTGCCGCAGCAGCAAAGCACACTTGTTTTCTGCTAATGGTCTGCAAGCTGGCTGTGGTCTGGAAGCGAAGCACAGAGAGATGCTGGGGCTCTTGCAGATATATGCTCAGCAAGCAGATCAGAAGGCTTAGTAGCCTTCCAGTAGCCACCATAACGGCCTCCAGACCAACACATATTATTATGTTTTTTGTTTCTCAAAGGTGAATTTTTCTTCATCATAACATTTAATTTCACATTTGATGTGCTTAATTATTATAGCTAGTGACACAAACCAAGTTACAGCAGGTTGTTTTCACCTTCCCACACTAAAGAAGTCTTTAGAAGGCCATAGAAATCATATGCAGCTGTACATCCTGTGACAGTAGAGTTGGTATCTTAATTGTGGTGTATTTCTCCCCAAACTCAGCTGGAGACAGACAGGAAGCAGTGAGGCCCTGAACCCACTGTGATTTCTATTCTCTCTTCAGCTGGCCACTCATCTGCAAGGTTGGAGCTTGCCTGTCTGGTTGCCAAGCACTTATTGGTTCATCAGTGTACCAATTATGTGATAGCTTATCCGGTGGCAAAACTTGTTGCCTTGTTTCACAGGATTTATCATTGTTCTTCCAGGGAGACATGGCTTAATTTTTAGGTAGTCCTGAATGGAGCCTGGAGTAAAAGTCCTTGTGGGTCGCTTCCAGACAGGGATTTTCTGTGATTTTATTATTCACTACATAGTTGAAGTTGCTAGATAATATTAACTTATTGTTTATAAGTGGCTTGAGCATGTCATGTGCTACACAATGCTATTTTCAGCAATCTAAACCTGTCTCCCTCTCCAGTGTGTCTGAAGTGTGATTTGCAAGAAAGATTGCTTGACCCAGCTCTGCTTTCTGGGACAACTGATGGCACCCTGAGAACAGCTGATTTAAATCCACCCTGCCATATGACAGCCTGGCCAGCTACAATGCTGTATAAACTCCAGGTTGTAAAGTAAGTGCCGTTACATCTTTTGCTTGGTAACTGGAAGGCTGGTATAACAGTGTTCATGCTTTCTGTGCAATTTCAACTAGGAGTCAGTAACGTCAACATAAAGTGCCTGGGACTCAAAGAGCAAGTAAAATTCTGGGCTGAAACATTCCCACCAGCTATACCTCTTGGCAGTATGGATTAGCACATCCCATACACGCTGATAGGTGTGCAAAGTCTAAAAAGATGTTACCATAATGCTAGCACTTTATGAGTTTTAAAAGCATAGATTTTATTCATGCAACAGTTGATTCCTTCCAGTATGAAGCCCTACAGGTTGTGGCCATTGTTCCATATATGCCTTAGGTAGTGAAAGAACTATCTAAATGAGGCTGCAGCAATTAACTGGCTGCTAGAGCTTGATCTCTTTACTTGACTACAAGGCAAAAAAAGCAGCGAAAGCTTCACAGTTCTGCAGGACTTCAGATAAGAATTTGTCTTCTTTTCCCATCAGCAGGCTCTGCTGGTAGGCACAGAAAATAGCAGGAAGATTTCTTTTTAGTAAAAATGTTGTGCGGTTTTTGAACTTCTTCCTGTATAGTTGTTCCTGAAATGACTCTCAGCTTGTCAGTGTTTGAAGAGTGTTTAGTAATTGTGTGAATTATTCACAGAAACACAGAATAGTTTGGGTTGGAAGGGACCTTAAAGTGGGATGCTAGCTGTGTGCAGGAGCAGTTGAAGTGAAGAAAAACCACAATATGCTAAAATCTCTTAGGAAGGGATGTAACTGCCAGGGTGACCTATTGCCCAAGAGGCCAAATTACTAGTCTGCTTTGTATTCAAAATGTGTGAAAATTGAATATGCTCCATGGCACACTCTTGACAAAAGAAATACAATGGAATCTGGCAGCACGCTGGAGGGTGCCAAATTCAGTGTTGATCAGCAACAAAGCCCTGGCAGCGCTTTACACTGCAATTGGACTTTTCTCTACTTCAGTTGGGTTTCATTGTGGCTAGAAATATTGTTTGTAGCAGTATTGCAGCTGTTACAACCATAGCTGCTTGAGCTCATCTCCCCCCTGCGGAGTCTTCTTGGCAGTTTCATGCTGGCTGTGCTTAAGATGAGCTGTTCGTTTATAGAGCTCTAAAGTCTGAAGGAGTCTGTGAATCTGTACTATATGGACTGCCTTTCATCATCAAGCCCACAAGCTGCTGGCAGCTGGACTGGGACGAACTGGAGCTAAACCAGCACAGCTTCCATGCTCTATGTCATAGTCTTTTGGTGAGTATAAAAATCGCAGTCTCACAGGGAGGGATTGCCACAGAATTGAATTGTTGGTGTATATCCAGTAAGGTCTTTCAAGCCTGTACCAGAAAATACGTTTCAAAATCTATGGCTTCATCTCATGTGCTAGGGTTGGGCCTGTAAGTCCTTCCAGTCACCATGACTTTGGCAAAGAACCTACAGCACATCAAACAGGCACTCTCGCCTATCAGAAATGGGCCTGAAAGTACAAAATCAGAGCTGGAGTTGGGCAAGTACTTTTAACTGTGAAAATAGTTAACCAAGGCTTTGGGATGTGGAGGACTTTCCATTACTGACAAGTCTTAAATTAAACCTGGATGTTTTAAGAATTGTCTTCATTTAAGAAAGTTGGGTTTTCCTCAGCCACCATGCGTAGTAGTGATCTCACAGTGAATGTGCTGAAGGAAGCAGCTGTTACCCATTTTACATGTTGGTTTTGGCTTACGCTGTTTAGAAAAGGAAGTGGATGCTTTTGGCCAAACATGAGCCACAGAACACTTGTCCAAGCTGGAACACGGTGGTGCATTCCTACTACATCATTGTCCCTTCTGACTCTGCCACTCTGCTTGTCAAACCAGTGGCTGTCCGAGAGCTCTTGATGCCATCAACCTTCCCAGCCCTCCTTGCTGAGCATCCTGAGAGAGTACAGGGTCCTATAGAGGTAAGTCATTGATGACCCTACACAAAAATCCGTGGCAGGAATGCCAGCTACAGAAGCAGGGAATCAAGCCTGCATGCACAGAACATGCAGATGCTACTGAAGATGTATTTATCTTCCTTACTACAGTAGGTTCTTTGTACATAAGATAAATCAACACATAAGGTATCTCTGTTTTTTCTAATAGATTCAAACTTCTGCAATTCATGCTGTGCATCCACATGTTCTTCTGAGTTTTCTGGCTCTGCTTCAGGTGACGTCAGGAAGGGCAAGGCTCTTGCTATAGGTCTTAGCAGGTGAACAGAGGAGGGAACAGCTGTGAAAATGTTCAGTGACAGCTGGAATATGATGTAGAGCTCAAGAATTCTTTTTCAGCAGACAATATATTCTACAGTTTTCCTCCAAAGAACAAAGCCATCCTTGCAAAAAATGCTCCCCCAGAAAAAAAAAAGTCAGCCACTAATAATAAGTCCTCCACTTGTCACATCTAATTGCCACCAGGTTCTTTTTTCTGTCCGAGCAGAGTGCCCTGAACAGCTTAGAAGTGGAAGTTACTTATAATCCCTTACACCTGAAAAGCAACCTCTATAAATATCTGAAAAGTATGTTGTACAGACCGCTGCACAGGCAGCAGCCCCAGCCCAGGGACCAGCGACCGGAGAGGCATCAGCCAAAGCAGGTACGACTCTTGTCTTTGACCAACACAGATAGACTCTATCTTGTTCTCCTTATCTGCTTCCTGCAGAAGGGAAGAGGGCAGCTCCCTGATACCCTTACAGGACAGGGAGGCCAGCATATGGCAGGGGCAGTATTCACTTACAGCTGTAGAAGCAGCGAGGTGAGTATAGCTTAAGCTGTTGAGATGAGTGCTGAACAGCTGGTCCATGCAAACACACTGAGGCAACACGCAGTGAGTGTTGGACAAGCTAACATTAATACATTAATATTTCATCCCTGCATTGCAGCATCAGAGCAGAGCCAAAGCCACAGTGGCACCCCTTCTGATGGCTCCTTCTCCTGCCCAATTGTTCAGACCAGCAGGAGCAAGGAGAGATTCCTGCGCACAGTCCTTCCTTCCCAAAGAGGATGACAAGATCCTGCACTGAAGATACCCCATGGCACTGCTAACACCTGCTCTCGTGCAGTTAATGGTTTGGCTTCTGAGCCAGAAGCAGACAGGCAAGACACTGAGCCTGTCTGAGGTCAGATGGGTGCTTCCCGTTGTCTGTTGCTCCTTGTTTTATGGTTTTGTTTGTCACTAAAATCAGTTGGCAGGAGGCTTGCTTCACTAGGGTTTCTTGGCCTCTTGCTGTTCAGCTGTTCCCTATACACCTGATATTTCAGCACACATCACCAACATGCCTCAAATTACGTTCTTTAGAACAGACTAGTGCAGCCCACAAACCACAGATTACCGTCAGTGAATGCAGAAAAACTGCAAGGTAGCGTGGTGGGGAAGTTGGGCTATACAGCAACGTCAAGCCACCCTCATCCTGCAGAACGTTCAAAAGACTGTTCTGAATATGCATAAAACAGGGTTTTTGGAGAATGGTATACCCCAGAGCAGCATTATCTGTTACAATACTAATTTGTCGACTTCCACAGTGGTCTCTCTGTCCAACTCCCGAGCTCATGGATGGGTTTGCAGCAAGTGCCAAGCTAGCAGCCGTGACCTGGCTGACTCCTGCACAATGCAGTAATCCAATGCAGTAACCCACTGCAGCTCAATCTCAGAACAATACCTTTCTCCCTGCCAGTTATTGCTTGAAAAAACACAATCTTATGGCCCATCTGCACAAAAGAGACTGTTCTGCAAGCTGGCATGGCCATACACTTTGGCAAGGCTTAGCAGATACAGAGAGTTGGTCTGCAGCTTTCCAGAGAGCTGAGTGAGCCCCAGTTTTTCAGTGCATACGCAGGACAGCTGCCCCTGCCAGAGCAGGAGCTGAGGACAGTGCAACTTAACCAACGTGGGGCAGCATCACTGGGCTTTCTGGATACTGCACACAAACAGGGATTTGTGTTCCACGTAGTTTGTTCTAACATTCTGTTTCAAAATAAAGTCCTCTTGCTAAATGTTACCTTACTGCCTGTGGTCTACAGTGCTTACAGTGTGTGGCAATCATAGCACCAACCTCTATTTCCTGAGAAACAGTTGCTGTTGACCAAGGGCACAATGCAGCATCGTGCTTCCTCGAGGACTGCAGTGGCAGGACAGAGCCACCTGTTTGCTCCAGGATCACAGCTCACTAGCATGCTCTGATTGCTACCTATTTTCTACCCATTCATGAGATGTGCACTGCGATGGTAAAGCATCCAATGGAAGAAAAGGTGGCAAGACCCTATTTACCTCTGATAGTGGTGGTCTCATCTGATACTTCAATCTCTACAGTACAATGTGTGCTGCAGAGTCTCAGATGAGGGCAACAGGACCCTTCCAAGCATTGAGGCCAAGGAAGGGCACCACACAGTTGCTGCTGAGACTGAGATGAAGCAGACACTGCTTTCTGTGTCCATGTGGGAGCTGTGCCATGAACAACTGCACACAGGCTGACTCAAGTGCAGCACAAAGCCTGGACACACCACTCCCCATATTGCTGTGTGCCTCTGCTGCTGGTTTCTGCTGCGTGCATCTGAGCTTCCCATGCCCTGGCAGCCCCCCATGCCTGGGCAGGTGGCAGTATGCAGGCAGCTGCTCAGGGCAGGTACCTGGAGGAAAAGGTAGACATCCCTAGCAGCACATGCACACAAAAATGGTTTCACATCCAGCATGCTAACTAGATAATATGAAAAATCAAGCAGATAAAATAATCCCCTCCCTCCTTATCTGATCTGATGACCCATATAGAAATTACTCGGGCAATTCTATCAGTAGGAAAGGGTACATCAACAGCAGCTGATGGTTTACTGTGAACAAAAGGAGGCTGATAAAGAAGAAACTCGCAAAGAGGGAGAAGGGACTATAAGGGGAAAGAAATCACAACTCTCGGAGTGTTTGGGGGTTCCTTCTGAAGAGCCTTTCGCCTGGTCACTGGTGTGAAGCAGGGTAATAACCCTACAGCCAGTGTGTTTTTGAGTGCTCTCCCTAATGCCAGTATGGGAAAAAATAACCTGGCAGAACAGCTGTCGCACACCTGCACCATGCTAGGAGCCCGTATGGGAGGAGGAAGTGGTTATAAAAGGACGTGTTTTCCGGAACGAGAAACAGAAAAAGGTGGTACAAAGGGGAAGAATATGGCTGGGCTTTGGCAGTTCCCAAGTATTTTTCTCCTGATAAAAACTGCCAACTGGCCTACAGAGACCAAGAATGCTGCTTCATCTCAGCCGTGGCTGCTAGACCTGCTGTACTTAGTAACATTTCTCAGCTGGAGTTTGGGCTTTTAGCAAAAGAGAACAGGAAGGCTCATAGGCTGCCCACATACAAGGAAGCCTGATATCTAAATGACATTTTGTGCACCACGCAGTCTGGCTCCTAGCACCTAGACAAGGCAGAAGATGCCAGGATGCTGTTCTTCAAGTATGCAGACTACATTCAGTCATGGCACAATTACTGTGATGTGCCAGGGCTACCTGTGAGCTTCACCCAGCTGCTTCACTGTTCAACACGTGGAAATAACAGGAAACAAAAGAAGGCAGACCAAATAAACCTAATCCAGACAAAAATTCAGCAAGGTCATCTGCTCCTAGAATTCACTGCAACTTTGGCTACAGGAAGGCTATGACCAGCCAAAAGCTCACTCTGTATTGCCTTATTTCTTATGATCTCTCAAAGCACCTATGGCACCCTAGCCTGCTTCCGGAAAGGAGTAAAGTTGGAGCACAGAGCAGCAGCCTGAGGGAGATGGCAAGCCTGGTCTACAACAGTGAGCCAGAAAAAAAATTGCTCTCCAGATCAGCAAGAGCTTTCTGTGCTGCATGCACTGCTGACTCGTGGCAATGCCTGTAAAGAAAGCAGGACAAATGCAGAAGACAAATGTTGCCTTGTGTGCTTACCTTTTAGTTTTAGGCCAGTTAACGGAGAGAAGATGTCACTGTTGAAGCAAAAAGAGCAAATATCCCATCCAGGAGCAGTGCAGGGCTACAGGGAGAGCACTGAATCTAGCACAGACGCTGAAGCACTTTCCTTCTTCACTGGCATTCTCTATAGTGAAAGCTGGGTCAGACACACTCAATATCCTCAGACACAGTAACTGCAGTGATGCAGATGTGCAAGCACCCACCACAGTCTGTAAGGTGGAGCCCAGAGCTCAGCTCCTTGGAGGCTGCACTTCATCACCCAAGTTTTAGAGCCTTACACTGGAGTCACAAAGAAGGATTATGGGCAGGTGCCCCTCAGTGCAATACCCAGAACTCCTCCCTGAGAAGAGAATTTCTACGACTTGAAGCACCTGCGTGGGGTCACCCCACAGCTTTGCACAGGGAGCAGGCACACACCTGTCCTGGGCAGGAACGGTATCAGCCTCTCTCTGGTTCCCAAAACACCTCTGAGGTGTTTCTCCAGTTTACTGCAGCAAAACCCCAGCAGAGAAGAGTATGCAGCACAAGACAACAACAAATTGGTTCAAGTTACTGCTGCACTTTTACAGAAGCTCCTCCTGCAACCCAGACATCACACACCCTGTCAGAACCCCCACTGCTCACTTCCATCTCACCAGTTTGGGAATGTGAACACAGCCCTGCACACATTGCTACCAGCTTATGGCTCTCTGAGTGTGAGCTTGGGCTACTGAATTCATGCTTAGTCCTCTGCACAAGAATATTAGACTTCTGTTTCCATCTCCATCAGCAGGCTGGTGAACCTGCAGAAGCCATCAGCAACACAAGACAGACTGAGGGACAGACGGCACCAAGGTGCCTGGCATAGCCCCACACAGAGGAGACAAAATCTCTCACAACCATTACCAACAACAAAAGACCAATGTTTTTTTTTCCTCTGTGCAGGTTTCTGCCCAAGGCACACAGAAATCATAGCCAAACCTTTCACCTCGTAAACAGCGCAATCACAGTATTTGCCATCAAAGTCAGTGGGACTCAGACTGGGCCATCCTCAGCCTTCCAAAAGCACATGAGGATAAAAGGGGAATCAGCAGAGGAATGCACCAGGTTAAGCAGAGAACCCGTGACTGATCAACAGCCACTGAGCTCCAGCATAGACCTTGAGCCTGGCCCTGACCAAGAAAGTCCCACACTTTTTCAGGTCATCCCAACATGTCTCATCCTGACTAGCACACTAAAGCCTCAGTGGGGCTGATTCTCACATCTCTCAGTCCCTCCGTATCAGAGCATCCCAGCTACTGCTGGAGCTGCCACCCATTGTTTCTAAGGTTTCCTCTTAGCTCGGCAGCTCTGGCACAGACAGCGTGAGCACTGCTCTACAGGGCATCACACACCACAACACTGCACCAGCATCTCCCCAGCTACGTGCCTAACATGCCACATGCAAACACTTCATCATAAGACATACAAATTTTAATATCAAAATAATTTTGTATAAAAATACTTTTGGAGACTGATGGCAAGCAGCCCCCCAGGCACTGCAGTGAGCATCTGAGCCCCATGGCTCGCCCAGAGAAGAAGGCATAGCACAGCCAGAGCCTCTGGAGTCAAAGCAGCAGGCGCAGTGCAGAGCCTACCCTCCTGCCCCACCAGGTGTCAGTGAGGCTGGCTCTGGAGCCGAGCAGCACTGGCACCAGTGCACTCTGACCCTGGGAGTGTGGGACAGCCCCAAGGAGACAAAGCCCCTCAGAGCTGACGAATAGGAGGGGCTCTGCCCCATCCCACACAGCCCCAGCCCCATGCCGGGCCATGGAGTACAGCCGCCTGTGCCACTCCTTGTTGAGTTTGGGCCCCAAAGCACCCAGGCAGGTGCAGAGCAGCAGCACGTTATATCTCTCCTAGGTCCTCATAGACAGGAGACAAGCTACACTCATCCACACACTGTTCCTTCCTCTGCCCAAGCTGGGGCTTCATCACCCGGCAGTACAGCAGCTCCGTGTTGTTGTTGTTGCTGCTGTTCAGGCCAGGTTTGACGGCCGCCTTCTCAGTAGCAAGGTTCCCTCGCCGCCTGCCAGGGTCCTCACTTCTTTCGGCACATTTGGAGATGAACGTTGCCGGAGGCTTGGGAGCAGGCACTGGCTTGGGGCCCTTGGCCTTGAAGGCAGGAACTGAATAGTCATCAGTACTGGGGCTGTAGGGGTACTCATAGCCACTCTTGCCATCGTGGCCCTGCGTGCGCCAGGCCTCACCTATGGGCCGAGCCTCGTCGTAGATGCTGGCAGCGGCGGGCAGCACGCGGGGCGCGCAGCCCTCGGGCTCGTCGTAGATGTGCTCCTTCCGCAGCGGGCCGCAGCTCTCGGCACGTAGCTGCTCACAGGTAGGGAATGGCACCCGGAGCTTCACCCCATCCGCAGCCCCCGTGGCCTTGCTGTCAATGGGGTCTGCGTATAGCGGGTCCAGCCTGGGTCGGAAGCTCTTCAAGGAGTCCAGAGGCTCTGAGTAGAGGCTGGAGGGATCCTTGTCTGGCAGGACGGCCCGTGGTGCCTTGGGCAGAGGGGAGCGTGGAGGGGTGCTGCTGATGGGGGGCTTGGCCTGCAGCACAGGTGGCTCTGGCAGCATCCGTGTCTTCAACAGTGATATAGCATCTCTCTCCTCTGCTGCAGCAGAAGGCCGGGGTGCCAGGCCTGCCTTGGGTGCTGCAGCATCATCCCCTTCTGCGGGCTGCTCCAGGCTCAGCGTGTCAGCCAGGGCCTGGTGGATCAGCACCACACTGGGGCTGTCAGATTCTAACGAGTCACAGCTCTGCTGGTTCTCCTCCACCTGAGCTTTCTGTTCCCGGATGGAGGCTTCCACCAAGCGGAAGATCTCATTGCCCTGCTTGGTCTCAAAGGTGAAATTCCCTGGCCCAGAATCACAGCGCCTGCCAGCTTCAAAGGAGAACATCACCTGCAAGAGAAGCCAGGAGTCACGTCCTGCTCAGCAACACCCAGAGCCATGCAGGCCATGCTCCCCTGATGCACACATGGCTGCGGCGCTGGGCCTGCACAGCTGAGCACCCTGCTGTGAGCACTGAGGTTGTGCTTCGCTCAGTGGCTGCACAGCACCCAGGCAGAGGCAGGACTGCCTATCAGGCTGGAACATCTGTGAAATGAGGCACACACAGCTGAGGGGACAGTGCTGCAGTTGCCCAAGGCCAGAGCTGCAGGCCCTGCTGAAGGCTGTCCTCTTCCCTGAGCTCTGTCAGCACGTTCAACAACTGGCACCAGAGCACGCACTGGGAACTGAGTGGGCAAGAAGGAAACAGTTCAGCAGCAGAAAATGCTGTGGGTATCTCAGGTAAGTCAGCATCAGTCAGGCAGAAGGGAAGCAAGAAGATAAGGAATCCAAGAGAGGAATGCAACTTTCCATGGGAGAAAGGCCAGAAACAGTAGTTTGGTTACCAACAGCAAGCAAAGCATTTGTCTTGTAAGCATCAAAGTACTTTATGTCATTAACAGTAAAGAGAAGCCTTGACTAAGGCTGTATTTCTCAGGCTGAGCACACTCATGCATAAGTTCCCACCAGCAAATGCACAGATCCTTCTTGAACCTCGGTCCCTGAACCCAGGAGAGACCAAAAGTCTTTCTGGTGTCTGGCATGTAGCAGCTGTCTGTGGTTCCCGTAAGAGCCTTTGAGGACAGACTTGTTGGTGTGGGTCAGCCATGCTAAGTACAAGCACAGCCAACTCACCCCCCACCAGGGGACCCAGGAGTGCAGCCACCTGCTCCTCCAGTGACTCAGCACTGCTCCTGCCTCTGGCACTGCCATCCTGAGAACAGCTTAGCTTCTGATTCTGTTTTGGTGAAGTGTCACAGAACATGCTGCTGGCAAGCTGCAGCTGACAGCATCACTTCTATAAACAGCCCCAGGGAGGCCACTTTCACCCTCCCCAGCATAGCAGGTACAGCTTGCAGTCTGTGTAGCAGCAGGATAGATGGGGAACCCACTGCTGCAGGACACGGGGGAAGCACAGGCCCACACAGTCAGTCAGGCTCACAGCAGTGTGCCCCAAAAGATGAACATATCTAGAGCAGAACAGGTATCTCAAACAGCCCATTCTGCTCCAAGTACTGCCTCCAAGAGGAATGAATACACGTTGGGAGCCATCAGAGCGCAGAGTTCCCCAGCAGCATGGGTTTGGAGTGCAGAGAGAGAGAACAAGGGTAGGCAGTGGCTGTGATGGCCTCAGTGGGAGTTGGGAAAGGACCACTTGGAGCAGGGCTGTGCAGCTAGGCCCCCCAGAGAGGTGGGAACATCACAGCTCACACTTTTGCACAGTGACATCACTGAGGACTGGGGACAGACCAAGGGTCACAGATGCCCCAGAGATGCTGCTGTGGTCACTGAGGGCTGCAGCAGCTGCAGCACTTGGCAGGGCCCACAGCACCAACGACACAGCAGCCAGGGACACAAGCAGCTCCCGTGGCTGCCCATCCGCACACCCACCTTGTCCCGGCCGTATCTCCGGAGTAGCCGGTAGGGCCAGACGTAGAGGATCTCACTGGTCCGTGGGTCCTTCAGGATGAGGCTGTCACGTTCAGCCTTGAGCACGTAGGAACCGCGCAGCTCGCACCGCTCCGCAGCCTCAGTCCGCTGCACTGTCACCCAGAAGGCATTCACTGCAGGAATAGGAGCGCTCAAGGGAGGCAAAGAAATCCCACCCCCTGCTCTCAGTACTGCCTGTAGGAGCCCAGTAAGGGCAGCAGTAGACCCCACCTTCATCTCTCGAATAGTAGATAGAGTTCACGGCCATCTCCAGGACTGGTGCCTCCCCGCTGCCCTCTCCACAACACTGGAGTGCCACAGCAGCATTTCTGGGGCCATTCCTCTGATGAGAGAGAGAGGATCAGTGCCAGCCCCTCTGCCTGCACCACGTTGCAAGGACACCTTGCAGTCACTGTCCCCTGCCCTATTTCCCCCAGGCCCCACTGCCCTCCGCAAGGGGCCCACCCAGCCCAGCACAGCTCAGCCAAGCCCCCTCCCACCCAGCGCCACAGACCATACCCACCCAGAGTGACAGGGACAGAAAGAGACAGGACTGGGTAGGAGGGGCTGCGTGGAAACCCTAGCATGGCTCTCAACCCAGTGCATGGGACAGGAAGCAGATCACACAACCACAGAGAATAAAAAACCCCTCTAAGATCATCAAGCTCAACCCCAACTCATTTCCACTGTGCCCATTGACCATGTCCCACAATGCCTCATCTCCACAGTTCTTGAACACCTCCAGGGACATGACCCCACCACTTCCCTGTCCCAACGCCTGACCACTCTTTCAAATAAGAATTTCTCCCACCCCTTCCAGCAGGCCTCCCTCCAGACCCTCCCTTGAGCAAAGACAGCATTGACACAGCCCCCCCGTGGGACCCCTGTGCTCATGGCAGCACTGCCCACTTGATCACTGGGCCAGCTCAGGCTTGGCACACAGGTGCATGCTGTGGAGGCCAAAAGCAGCCCCACTGCCACACAGACGTGCTCCAGCATGGCTGATATCAGCACCCAAAGCAGAGCACAGGCCCGGCTGCTCTCCTAGTTACACAAACAGGAGAGGGAGCAGATGCCACAACCCAGCTACAGCAGCCCATGTCCTGCTTCTGCACAGCCAGGAAGACAGTGCCAGGATTAGTGCATAGGCCGCAGAGGGAAGCGAGCACTTCTACTTTTAGTACATGCAGAACTGAAAGTGCAACACAAGCACTCTGCCAGAGGCCACATCTCCACAGCAGAGTCCCCCGAGGACCAGTGTGGCAGACGCGCCTTCAGTGCCCCCAGGGACCCTCCTCTGGGGCAGCCCCATGCATACCAGGGGCCCACTGATGTTCTGCAACAGCCCTTCCAGCAGATTTTGTGCTCCTGCATGAGGGTCCAAGCTCAGACCAAGCAGGAAACTTTCCCAGGGTCACGTGGCCGGGGTTGCGGCACATCTTGCAGAAGGCAAGCTGCTGCAGTTTCAGTTTAAAACTAGTCACATGAGCTTCCCTGCAAGAAGTAAGGCCCAAACAAGGCCAACAGATTCTCTCTGGCTTCTAAACAGGATGCACACTGCTTAAACCCAAAGTCCAAGCGCTGACAGCAGCAGCTTCTGCTCTCCTGAAGTATCCAACGCAGCAGAGCTCAACCTGGAATCAGGCAGCCAAGAACCTCTGAGGGCTTTGTTGGACTGTGCCTTTCCTCATCTTCAAAAGAAAAAAAATCAGGATGGTTTGGGTTGGAAGAGACCTTTAAGATCCTGTAGTTCCAACCCCGTGCTATATGCAGGGACACCTCCCACTGGGCCAGGTTGCTCACAGCCCCATTCACCTGGCCTGGAATGCCTCCAGGGTGGGAATGTTCACAACCTCAGTGGGCAACCTGTTCCTGTATCTCACCACCCTCACAGGAAATAATTTCTTCTTATTACCTAGTCTAAATCTACCCCCTCTTTAAGTTTAAAAAGTCATTTCCCCTCATCCTGTCACTACCTGCTCTCACAAAAAGCCACTCCCCATCTTTCCTGTAGTCCCCTTGAGGTCCTGGAAGGCCGCTATCTGGTTTCCTCTTCTCCAGGCTGAAAACCCTCAGCTCCCTCACCCTGGCCCTGCAGGAGAGGTGCTGCAGCCCTCTGATTATCTTTGCAGCCCTCCTCTGGAGCTCATACCAGAGCTCCAACAGCTCTGCGTCCTTTTTGTGCTGGAGGCTCCAGGACTGGATGCAGTACTCCAGGTCTCACAAGAGCACAGCAGTTGGACAGAATCACCTCCCTCAACCTGCTGCTCACAGTTCTCTAGATGCAACCCAGGATACAGCAGGCCTTCTGGGCTGCAAGGACACGCTGCCAGCTCACACTGAGTCTTTCTTTCATCAACTCATCCTCAGAGCTGCTCTCAAGTCATTCTCTGTCCAACATGTACCTGTGCTTGGGATTGCCCCAACTCAGCTGTAAGACCTTGAAAGAAATCCCATCCTGAACTCAGATCATCTCCCCAGCCCATTCCCAAGCTGCTCACCTTCTGGACAGCAATTAACAGAACACAAAATCTCACTCTCCAAGCAGATGAGCAGAAATTGCTACCAAGCACCTTCACTTTCTTGCAGAGACCATATGCAGCAGCTCCTACGCCTTGTGCTCCAAGGAAGGCCTTCAGTACAGCCCCTTGATCTCACAGCACCTTGCCAAAATCATCCTTAAGCTGCTGACCAGCTTCTGGACCCTAACCTTGCAACTAGCAGCTACCAGGTGAACAAAGATGTTAGCACAGCACTGCTCCAAGCAAGCGCTCCCTGTCTTAATACTGCTCCCACCATACTGAAGGTGGGTGGTGGGCTCCCAGCTGAGCACCAGGAGCCCAACCTAGGACAAAGGTTGCAACACTGTCTGCAAGTCACAGGGCCACAGACATGGAATGACTCCCAGTGCCATACCAGTGCCTCTGAGCTGGGCCAGTCACTGACAGCTGCAGGGAGGCCCTGCAGAGAAGCCCAGCCTTGCATCCATAGCCTGAGTCTAGCGAGCACTGCCCAACAGTGAAGAACCCTCCCACCCCAAAAGGCGCACAGGGCACACTGGGGACCAGGCTGGCAGGGACCACCCTCATGGAGCCACATGGATGCCCACATGCACAGGCCACCACTGCCCTGTGAACTGCCTTCACAAGGATGCAATACACAGCTGACAGCCAGCCCGGGGAAGGGCAGGGAAGCTGGAAGGTCATGCCATGGGCCAGCACGGACGATGGCACCGGGGAGTGACTCCTAGACTCGGTGAGGGGCTGCCCTGTTCCCAGAGCTGCTGGTGCTTCCCAGTAGCCTGACGGGTCCCAGAGCCGGGTACCACACCATGCCCAGGGTTCCGCTTCTGCCTCTGCAAGAAAGGCAAAGCCAGTTGGGTCCGGCGGAAACACCTCCAGCTCTCACCCAGCCCTCCCCAGGTGTCTGCAGGGGGCGAGCAGGGCTCCGTGCAGCAGCACAGCAGCAAAGCGGATGTCACAGAGCGCAGGACACAGGCAGGAACCCCTGGGGACAGCGTGCTGAGCAGCCCCGCGGTCCCACGAGCCCAACCCGGGCAGCTGCTGAGACCGGAGCCGTTTCGAGGAGCACCTCCGGAACGGCCGCGCCCTCGGCACCGCGACGCCGAGACGCGAAGACCCCGACCCCGCCCAGCTCACCGGGAAGGCGATCTCGCACAGCTTGGCCACCCACTCCTCGCTCTGCTGCTGCTCGGCCGCCAGGAGGTAGCTGCGGCCGCTGGTCTCCAGGCGGAAGGCGGCGGTGCCGGCCCGGGGGCCGCTCTCGGAGGGCGCGGGGGTGACGCTGGTGCAGTCCGCCAGGCGCACCACCGTCTTGTCCAGGCGCCGCGTACCCAACCGCCCGGCCGGACCCGCCGCCTCTTTGCAATCGAAGAACTCCAGGCGGGCGACGCCGTGCTGGCTGGCCGGGAACAGCGCGAACCAGCCCCGCTTCCACCGCTGCAAGGCACCGAGTCAGCGCGGGGCCGCCCCGTCCCGCCCCGTCCCGTCGCCGAGCGCGGCCGCCACCCTGCAGAGCAATCGGCGGCCCCCATCGCCCGGCAGTGCTCGCAGAACGCTCGGCTCGACCCACGGCCCGGAGACCGTCCGGGCCCGGACCCCTCCCACCCCACGGCCCGGCCCCGCGCGGAGCCCACCTTGGCGCCGAACTTGTTGCTGTGCTGCACGAACAGCAGCCCCTCCTTGGCCGGCGGCTCCATCCCGCGCCGCCGCTCGCAGCGCTTCCGCCGCCGCTCCCGGGCAGAGGGGCGGGGCGGGGCGGGGCGCGCACGTGTCGGGGACGCGCGGGGGGGCGAGAGGCGCAGTGCGCGTGGACCGCGTGTGCGTGGGTGGGCGTGTGCGAGAGAGAGAGGTCGTGTGTGTGTACGTGTGTGTGTGTACGTGTGTGTGTGTATGCGTGTGTGTGCGTGTCGGTGCTTGCAGAGCGCCGGCTCTGTGGGGCTCCACGAGGGCCTTCGGGCCGATGCTCCGCCGTGGCTGCTGCCTGCGCCTTCACCTGCTGCGTCCCCGTGGCTGATCCCGCCAGCAGCCTCTCTGGATGCTGAGGGTGCGAGGGGCCGGACTGGGAGCAGCACCATCCCTAACAGAGCCGGGCCGGGGCTGCGGGAATGCAGCCGGCAGATCACACACCCGACAGAGCCCGGAGAGCAGCCCTGCAGTATAAAGTCATACAATCACAGAATCACTGAGGTTGGAGAAGCCCTCCAAGACATCCAGGTCCAAACCCGAACCTCCCCTGGTGCAACTTAGGGCCATCACTTCTTGTCCTATTGCTGTTACCTGGGAAAAGAAGCTCCCAGCCCGGAGCTGTGCCTGGCCACCACAGTCCGCCCAGCCTAGGGGCCAACCTGGAGCCCAGCCCGTTCCTGCAGCACAGGTTTGTGCAGAAGTTGAGCAAGCATGGCCTGTGTCCAGCCAGCCCCGGTAGTTGCTTCTTGCTCAAATAACCCAGCCTGGCAGCACTGAGCTGGCTTTCCTGCAGTATAATTGTCTGCCCTGATGCAGATTTTATTGATGAGCATTCTGGTTATGAGCAGCAACATGCCTGTCCCAGGGCCTGAATCTTCACATGTTTTGAGCGCTCCTTGCATTCTGCAGCTGCCTGCATGCCATGTTACTGAGCTTTGAGCATACTTTGGTGGCCCACAGTGCACTCTGACCAGGCTGTGGCCGGTCAGTCACTTGCAGGCTCCTCACTCCTCAGATGGCCCAGACAGCATCACCTGCCTGAACCTGCGAGGGGAAAAGGGAGATGCCACAGACCCTGGCTCTGCTGGCCTCTGACACCCATTTTTCCTATGCAAAGCCATGCAGGCGGGTTAAATGGAAGCACTACCGGTGGTGATAGCTGCTCCCCACTGCTAGGAAGGCCCTCAGCAGTGTCTGCGTGTCTGCAGAAGTGCACCAATGCTTCTCCTAGCTTCGTCCCCCACACACAAATGGACCACAGTAACAAAGCCACATGCGTGCTTCCAAGTAACTAAGTCATGTGGCTCAGAGAGGCTGCAGGACACAGATCTGCCTCACTATTAGTCTGACAAACAGGAAAAGCAGCCAGAAATAGAGCAGAGTAGCACAGTGATGACAAACACAAGGTTCTACACGCACACAGGTACCAGCGTCCGTGCAGCTGCAGGCCAGGGAAGTACTGACGTGGCAGCACTTCTGCAAACCAGAACCTGTGGGACGGAGAGCATCACGAGCCAAACCTGCGTCAGCAGCCCAGAGCAGTGTGACAAAGGCCTGATGTTTGCGGGCAGGTGAATCACGTGCAAGGCGTAACAGTCCGATCTCCGCGGGCGCGGTGGGCGGAGGAGGCATCGCAGCCCGCACCGCACGAGGGAAGCGGCGCGGGGCGGCGGAGCTGCGGCGGCGCCTCGCACGGCGGGGGCTCGGACCGCTCCTCCCCTGGGACCGCCCGCGGCCGCCCGAAGCCGCCGGGCCGCTCTGCCCGCGGGCTGCGCGAGGTCCCCGCCCCGCGCCCGGCCCCTCCGCGGCCCCACCTGCCGGGGACGCGCCCTGCGCTGCGGCGGCCGCGTCTGTGCGGAGCGGGCACGCGGTGTCGCTGCGCGGGTCCGTCCGCGCCCCCCTCGGTTCCTCTCTGTCCGTCGGCTCTCCTCTCCATCCCTCCCCGCATCCTTCCGCGCACCCTCGTACCCTCCCCGCTCCGCCTCATCCCTCCCCGCACCCCTCCGCCCGCCCCACCACCGCAGGGCCGTTCCTGCGCGGTCATGGCCGGGCGGCCGCGTTTCCTCTGCGGCGTGGTGGAAGGTAGGTCCTGCCGGTCCCCACGGGGCCGGTGCCTCGCCGGGGCGCTGCAGGGGTTGTCCCGGCCCACCAGGAGCGCGCTGCGGCCGGGAAGGGCCGCTGCGAGCCGAGCTCTCCGAGGCCGGTATCCCGGGAACGGGGGAGGCAGCCCCAGCCCCGCACGGCACTCTGCGCCCGAAGGCGTGGGACCGGCAGCCCCTGGTGAAGGTCCCCAGCTCTCTCACAGAGCACGGATGCGTCTCTCGGATCCCCAGCGCAGCCCCCTCCCAGCATCACGGTGTGGCACAGGGATGCTCTGCTCTGGCTCCAGCACACCGCGGTGGCTCTTTCTCTTCTCTAGGCACGGGGCCCAAACCCTGGGGCGTGCTTCTCCTGCCTCCCTGCCTGCAGCACAGCGCTGCGCCTGGAGCTGCCAGGGAGTGCTGCTCTTGTGGCAGTTCCGCGGAGCTCTGCCCCCCCTCAGCTGCTGTTCCTGCATGCAGCTCCGTACCTCTGCAGCTGGATGATGCCTGGCACCTGCTGGTCAGAAGCATCTCCTCCTTTCCTGGCAGCGCATCACCACACTGCAGCTCACTGCCTGCTGCCTTGCCTGGGACAAAAACACTACAAATAGACACAAATCAAATAAAAAGTGTAGGAATGGAGAAGCTGATAGCAAGGAGGAATATGAGTCAGACAAGAATAGTCAGTGTAGGAAAGCTGACCTGGGAAAGAGAAGGACAGAGATGCTGTCAACAGAGCTGCACCAGGAGAAGGAGGAGATTTCTAGAAAGTGGAGGAAGAGCATCCCTCACCCTGCAGTAGCACTGACACTGGTGGGGAGCGCTTGTGCTGCAGGCAGAGTGCTGAGCTAGGCACTGCTGGGTGGGCCAGCCCAGAGCAGGGACAGTGTGTCCTACACAGAGCCCTGCTTCCTTCTGACACCTGGACTGTGCTGGAGGCAGCCAGAGGGCACAGGCAGCCTTGTGGCTGGGTGACCAAATCTGCAAATCTGGCACAGAGTGGTGGAGAATGGCTGCAGCCTTGGGACTTTGCTTTCCCTCATCTCCAGCATTCACTGATGGCCCAGAGGATGGTAAATAGTGGTGCTGACTGGGTACTGCTGTCATCGTCTGGACCACGGGAGAGCCAAGGGGCAAACACACTGCAACACTCATCACTGCTCACCTGTCCCTAAAAGAGTGGGGCACGAGCATCCTTCCTATGGAGATGCTGCCACAGGAGCCAACAGGTTTTTGTTGGTGCATTTAATCTTTTTTTTTTCTGGGCAGAATACTCTTGGAAAGTTTTCAGCTGTGCTGCTGCTGGCATGGCATGTGTAAGAAAGGAATGTCATGTCTGTGAGGCAATATCAGCTCACAGTGCAAAGGCTGTGCAGACCCCCAGGGCCTCCTAAGCTGTGGGCTGAGCAGGGCTTCCCATGGGTTGGGTAACAGAAAATCTCTTTTTCATGGAAATACATTCTTCAGAGGAAATACTTGCCGGGATCTTTGGGTGACTAGATTTGGCCCCATGCACAGGGTATGGCTAGCAAAGCAAATCTATATTACTTCAAAAACAATGGAGCAGGTATGTAGATGTTCAAGCTGGTAAAAGATCCACTGGCAAACAGCAGCGTTCAGTGCATGCTGCAGTGCAGCCCAGCAGGCTGCCCATGCTTTGTGCTGGCTGCAGTGGGGCAGCAGGGATGTGGGGTCCCTGACAGGCAGTGCACACCTCAGGGCAGCACCGGCCTCGTGGCAGCACGCAGAGCCAATCCTTTCTGCTGCACGAGCAGAATCCTTACAGTCTGCCCTTGTGCACAACAGATGCATTCACTTCTCTCAATCCCTATTCTTGTTCTTGTCTGCTAGAAAGTACTTGACTAATTTAAAAGCTGCCTGTGATACTGAGCCCATCTGACACTAGGAAGCTGCCGTAATGGCTAATTGCCATCACTGTTCAAGACATAATGTATTGTCTGTGAGGCTTCATACCTGAGCAGGTAGGTGTAGGTGCTTTATTTGAGCAGAGATTGAACCAGATGATGTCCAGAGGTCCGTTTCCAACCTCAACCGTTCCGTGATTCAGTGATTCTGAGACTGAACTGTATGGCTGAAATGCCATTTCTTGCTAGATTTCAGCTTGAATATTTAAGTGTTTCCCTTAACTTCCTCTTTAAGAAGCAATCAAATCTGCATCTCTTCAATGCATGTTTCTGCCTGTTCTCCCATTGTTCCCAGGTGAACTTGCTCCCCTCTGTTGTTTTTTTTTTTATCCACTGGCTTTGCAAACAGCTCTGTACCTCCCAGATCTTCCTACAAGCAGCAGTAGGAAGGCCCTATCCCTGACAGTGGTCCCAATGGGGAGAGGTGCTGCAGGACCAGCAGTGCCCCCTCGCTGCACCCACTGCTGGGCAGGGCAGGGCAGGGCAGGGCGGGCACAGGGCAGGCTGTGTGCTGCTGCAGCCTCTACTCCTGTCACACTCTGGTGCCCAGCAGCCTCCCAAACCTGCAAGAGGCAGAAGTAGAAATGCTCAGAAACACCATGGAACTTGCTGACAGCAGATCTATATTTCCTGCATTCAGTTCTGTTGTATGAGCCATTGGAAGGGCAATGCCCTGGCTCACTGGTGAGCATTCCTGTCCTGTCCTGACCCCTCAGGGCTGCTCCATGATGTGTTTTCTTTGTCTGGACTTTCCCTTTACAATGTTGTGGGGATGGTGTTTTCCAGTGGAAGCCACACAAAGTCTCTGTCAAATGGTCTGTGCCATCACGGGCATCCCCACAGACTGTGTGTTCCTGATCACAGCCACTGGCGGCGATGCTGCCTCGTCCTGGGCTCAGCTGGGATGGAGTTAATTTTCTTCCTGATAGCAGGCATGGTGCTGTGCTCTGGATTTAGGATGAGGATAATGCTGATAATGCACCAGTGTTGTTTTTTATCAGCGTGCACACTGAGTTAAGGACTCTCAGTGAGGGGCTGGGGAGCATAGGCAGCTGGGAGCAGGCACAGCCAGGACACATCCCACCTGCCAAAGGGATGTTCTGCACCGTGTGGCGTTGTGCTGTACTGTAGGACTGGAGGGGTTGGCTGGGGATGGCTGTGCTGCCCGGGGGGTGGATGACGGGGGGGGGGGAACTGTCCATTAGTGGGTGGTGAGCATTGTGCATCACTTGTTTTGTGTATTGTTTTGTTTTTATTATTTTATCATTCCCTCTTCCTTCTCTGTCTCATATACTACCTTTATCTCAATCCACAATTTTTACTTCTATTTTTTATTTTTTTTCCCCCAGTTCTCTCCCCATCCCTTTGCTGTGTGGTGCATGGCTGCCTGCTGGGTTAAACCACGATGCACCTCCAAGTCCTGCCTGATTGCAAGGTGTGCATCCTCCAACTGTGGAGAGAGCTGCATCAGTGCATTTCAGCTGTAGTTGGAGTTGCTGCAGTGTTTAAAGGCAGAGAGAGCACCTTTTATCGCCCCTCTTTTTACCTGCTTTGCCCTTTCACAGGTTTCTATGGGAGGCCATGGTCCATGGAACAGAGGAAACTGCTCTTCAGATGGCAAGTATCCTGAATTGGTTTTAAACTGAGACAGGGAAGGTTTAGGTTGGATATGAGAAGGAAGTTTTTCAGCCAGAGGTGGTGAGGCACTGGAACAGGTTGCCCAAGCAGGCTGTGGATGCCCCATCCCTGCAGGCATTCAAGGCCAGGCTGGATGTGGCTCTGGGCAGCCTGGGCTGCTGGTTGGCGACCTGCACACAGCAGGGGGTTGGAACTGGATGAGCACTGTGGGCCTTTGCAACCCAGGCCATTCTGTGATTCTATGATTCTATGAATTTTGCTCTCTGCAGTCACTAGAAAGGTAGACAAGGTGGAATCCAATGGCGCTTGACAGTCCCCGCTGCTCCCAGGGCCAGTCAAGGGGAAAAGCCCCTGCCCTGCCCCGAGCCGAGGTGCGGTGACCGCGGGGTGGGTGGGCGGCGGGCGGAGCTGACGGGAGCTGGCGGGTGCCGGCCGTGCCCACCAGGTGGCGCTGTGGCTCTGCGGCACCGCGGCTGCCGGAGGCGCCGAGCCGGGCTCGGGGGGCTGCGCGGGGTGCCGCGGGCGGAGCGCTCGGCGCGGTGCGGGAGCTGCGTGCTGCTGGTGGCTGGAGCGGAGGGTCCGGGGGCTGTGAGTGATCGCTGGGCGCCGGCGACAGCGCTGGTGCTGTGCTCAGACTGGGAGACGTGCTCCGAGCGTTGGGAGATGTGAACACAGAAAAATGGAACTTAGAAAAACTTGGAAAGCCTGCGGCTGAGATAAAGGAAAGCAAGAGATCTGTTTTAAATGATGTTAGGGATGAGCATTGGTGGTAGCCCAGTCAAATCGGTGTGTGTGTTCATGTGTTCCCATATGCGAGCAGAGTGTTCGCCTCTGCTTTCCTTTTCTGGGAAGAAAAAAGATGAGGTGGTTGTGTCATGCAGTCCATGACAGTCTGTTCACTGTAGGAAAATGTAAAACATCGTCCACTTGGGAGGATAAATAGAACAAATGAATAAATCAGATGGCTTTCATACAGGAGTGCCGAAAGAATTGCCCAGGGAAGTGTCAGTCCTATTCTGATGATCTCCAGTGAATGTTGGATTGCTGTACATATTCTGGGCAGAGCTGTGCTTTTTGAGGCCAGGCAGAGCCTTATGACAGCGTAGCCTCATCTCCCAAAACTGGCAGGCCCTGCTTTAGCTCCAACCTGCACTCCTTCAACTCCAACTGCAGTGCAGCATCCAGAGAGATGAGGATGGGCTGTGGCTGCACAGTGGGGGCTGCGAGCAGAGATTGGGAACCTGCAGGCACAGTGAGGAGAGGGCTGGCGCACCTGCCTGCAGACTGCCTTGCAAAGATCCTGTCTGCAGCCGCGGGTGACGCCTTTTCCTCGCTGCAGGCTGAAGCGGTGGGGACTGAACTGCTACATGTACGCACCCAAAGACGAGCTGAAGCACCGGCTGCTCTGGCGAGAGCCTTACACACAGCATGAGGCAGGTAGTGGCTCTGCTGGGCCCCGGTGTGGGGGGCTGCAGTCATTCCGGTCCCATTGCTCTGCATCTCAGCCAGGCTCAGGCTGCAGCTACACTCTCCCTGACAGAATCCTGTGCGGTATAGGAGCCCCAGATCTTCCCCATCACGGGTTCTCCCCGGGGACCCCAGCAGCTACAGAGCTCCCATGTGGATTGCTGGCAACATGCTGCAGTGCTGGGACACACAGACTCTTAGGGAGGGTCCTCTGTGTCTCAGGACCTGGGCACCACCTCCCCAGAGCTCTTCTTTCCCTCTGATCCTTGAGGCTGCAGCCTCCCCTCTGCCCTTCCTGTGCCTTCAAGATCTTACTGCATCCCTCTGCTCCGTCCCCAGCCCAGATGCAGTCTCTCATCAAAGCTGCCCAGGAGCACGATGTGGAGTTCATTTTCGCCATTTCTGCTGGCCAGGACATCGTGTTCTCAAGTGCTGGGGACAGGCTCCTGCTGCAGCAAAAACTCAGGCAGGTACCGTGGGCCATTCCTTTACCCCACTGCTCCTGGCAAGGGTTACAGATGCTCATGTGAGGCCCCATGCCCACACCAAACATCTGTGTGGGGCCGTGAGCTCCTCCTGACCCCAGGGCAGCTCCGGGTGCCTCATGCAGCCCCAGCGTCTGCTCAGAGCAGCAGAGCCGGGAGCTGGGGTGCTGCAATGCCTGCAGGCGGCTCTGCAGGAGCTGCAGAGAGGGAGCAGCCCCATCCCACCGGGTGTCACAGAGATGTGGCATCATCTGTTGGGGTGCTGCAGTGCTCTGCCGTCCCGGCCTGGAGCTCAGCCGGCTGCCCACATCCTCCTGCTGCCGCCCTCCTAGCGCCTGTCCTGTGCCCGCAGGTGGCTGCCCTGGGCTGCGGTGCATTCGCGCTGCTTTTCGATGACATCGATCCCTGCATGTGCCGCGCTGACAGAGACGTCTTCCCCTCCCTGGCCCAGGCCCAGGCCTCTGTGGCCAATGAGGCGTACCGGGAGCTGGGCCTGCCTCCCACCTTCCTCTTCTGCCCCACAGGTACCCCCCCAGCTATGGGTGCTTGGCAGCCCCAGTGTGCTCACTACGTTGCTCCCAGCACTTCTTCCCCCTGCAGGCTGATTGTCCTGGCAGCCTGTGGGCTCCACCATGTTTTGGGACAGCTGGGGAGACCTCAGGGTGGGGACAGGAGCAGGCAGTGGGGCGGATGGCAGTAGGCTGTGAGGGGCAGTGCCACCTCCCCTGCCCAGCTCCTCTCCACATCCCTGCCTGCTGCAACCGCTGTCTGCTGTCTCTGCAGAGTACTGCAGCTCACTCTGCTCCCCCAGCCCCGCTCAGTCCCGTTACCTGCAGACCCTCGGCCGGGAGCTGCTCCCAGAGATTGGGGTCATCTGGACAGGTGGGTGCCCTGCTCGTCTCGATGGGTGCACGCAGCTCTGCACTTGTTGCTCAGATATGCACACACACATTGGTGCTGTGCATGGAGAAGTGCACTGCCTGCTAATCCTACACGTATTTGTGCCTTGATGCTCTAGGCCCAAAGGTGGTGTCCCAGGAGCTCTCGGTTGCATTGGTGGAGGAGGTGGAGCACGTCCTGCAGCATCGCCTCCTCATCTGGGACAACCTCTTTGCCAATGACTACGACTGCCGACGTGTTTTCCTGGGCCCCTACACGGGCCGTGCCCCTGACCTCGTGCCCCGGCTCAGTGGGCTGCTCCTCAACCCCAACTGCGAGCTCCAGGCCAACTTCATCCCCATCCACACTCTGGGCAGTTGGTTCCGCAGTGAGCTGTGGGGCTGTGCCCACACCGACAGCACAGGTACGTGGCCCCATGCCCTGGGACGCTCCGTGCACGGGGCGCCACGGCCACAGTGAGGTTGTGTGCACGGGATAGGACCCAGGATGACTCTGCCCTGCTTTGCCATCGCCCAGCAGCCCCCCTGCCCACCAGCCTGGGAGAGGTGACCCTCCACATTCATTCTGGACACGGGGTCCCCACCTGGGGGGGAGCTGCCCTTCACTGGTGTCACGTGGGTTAGCTTGGTAAAGCACCGTGTGAGACTGCCCAAGGTGATGAGCACTGTTCTTTAGGAACAGAGGCTTCAGCAGAGCCGAGGGATGGCCAGGGCCTGCAGGAAGGTTACAGCCCTCAGGAGGCTCTGGAGCTGGCACTGCTCGACTGGGTGGCTGAGATAAAGCAGCAGGTGCTGGAGGCAGGTAGGTGAACTGGTACCGTGCAGCATCCTTCAGCCCCGAGCATGGACCAGTTCTGCTGGGAGCTCTGTGGGCTGAGGGAGCTGCAGAGGGGTTGTCCTGTGGTCAGGGTCTGCTTGGAGGAATCTCTGTGTGAGTAGCACTGGGAAAAGGAGAGATTTGTAGCTGAAAGGTGAGATAGAAGAGTTTGAAGCTTCTTCCATGGGTAGTTATGTGCTGAGCTCACTCTTCTGCTCCAGAAGCGAGCAAGCCCATGGGATGCAGGATGGTGAAGACCAGGAGGTACTACCAGCAGATGTAGTAATGTCCCTGTCTGCATTATGAGAGAGCACGTGGAGAAATAGATGCTGAGAGAAGACGGTGTGCTGGGGGAGAAGATTGATGGGGAGAGGTGTCTGAGGTCTGGGGGCAGCATGACAGGGTGACCATGTGCAGGAAATGTGCATGAGGTCTGTGACCCCACAGCATGGTTCAAGAACAGCTTTGGGCTGTAAACAGCTCTGGGTAGTGCCCAGCTGCCTGAAGGAGGATGATGCAGCATTTGCTGCAAAGATGGAGAGCAAAGCATGCTTCCTGCTTTCCACATTCCTGTTTCCTCAAACTGTGGGCTCAGTAGAAGGCTAGGAACCACGACAGAGCTCTGGAGGTGGGGGTTAAGTGTGGTGCAAGTTTGTTGCTTTGCACTATTTGCCTCTGCAAAGCCTTCCCAGCTGTGAAGTCCTCAACAGTTCAGAGCCCATGGTCTGGGCAGACCCTGGCCGGTGCCAGCACTGCTCTGAGCTCCCAGCACAGCTGCCCCAGGGCTGTTCTCCGCACAGCCATCCTGGTGCAGGTGCCAGTGGGGCCGCCCCTTTGCTCTCTTGCTAGGAGGAAGGACTCCACTGCAATCCAGCACTGGCTGCGAGGAAGAAGCAGGGCTGCATCCTGGCACAGCAGGAGGGCAGGAGGCCCTGCTTGGCCCGAAGCCTTGTGACACTGCTCCCAGTGGGGCAGACCAGCATGAACCTGAGCCCTGTGACGTGACACCAGGGAACAGAAAGAGGGAGGCAACCTCAGTGCCTGAAGAGGGCAATGGGAGCAGGACCTCCACCGGTGGCCCACGGAGCCCTGCAGAGGATCAGGACTGGCTCACTTCAGGTAGCAGAATGAGCTGTGAGCCCTCCTCTGCTCTGCCCATCACAGCAGGGAGTGATGGGTCGGCAGGAGTTCCTGTGGCTGATGAGACCCTCCACAGCCTGGGGACACCAACGTGCTGCAGCAGAGGGGCCAGCACCTGCCAAAGCACTCCCCTGGACAGCAGTGATGTCAGGGAAAGGGGCAGCAGCCCTTCTGGCAGTCCCCAGCCTGGGGCCAGCACTGCTGATGCGCTCCAGATACCCTCAGGGTCTAGGGCTGACCCCAGCCCTGGCCCCATCTCACAGCTTGTTGATGGGGCCACCAGCCCTGTCCCCACAGCACTGCTCACTAACGGGACTGCCGTAAGCCCTATCCTCTCTGTGCCACTTATGTCAGAGGAGGCCAGGTTGGACTCCAGTGCCCCACTGACCATGGAGGAGGCGCGGATGCTGGTGGAGCTCTTCTACCTGCCCTACCATCATGGGCCACAGGCGCAGCATCTCTTGGAAGACCTTCAGTGGCTGCGGGCCAACAGTCCCAGCGTGGGAGTCCCCAGCGGATCACCAAACTCCTGTGTGGTAAGGCTGCTGTGGGCGCTGCTGTGGCACATGAGCACAGTGCCCATTGCAGCTGCTCTGACACCTGCCCCGTCTGCAGGTTGCAGAGTGGCGCAGCCGGGCCCGCTCCTTCCAGCAGCTCTGTGCCCAGACGTGCTGCCTGCACAGCCGCTTCGTCTGCAGTGCAGGGCAGGCGCTGCTCTACGACCTGCACCCCTACCTGTGGGACATCCGCAACCTGCTGCTGGCTGCCAGTGCCTTTGTGCTGTGGTTGGGTACGTGAATGAGGGCACACTGGGGGACAGTTCTTCACCCTGGGCCATTTACCCACACCTGGTGAAAGCATCTGGGAGCCCTCCCAGCGGTCCTGAGGTCTGGCCAAGATGCCAAGATGCCAGGGTCTCTGGTGGAAGCAGAAGTCCCTTTGACCCCCATGTCCATCCCATGCCCTGTGCTCCTCCCTTGCAGATGGCCGCCTCCTGTGTGACCCTGACCACAAGGGCACCTGGGGAAGCTGCTTTGGCTGTAAGTATGGCGGTGTCTTTTTCTCCCTCCTTTCCCCTCAAAGGGCTGCTGCCCTCGGGTCCTCACCATAGGGCTGCCCTTCCCCACATGCTGCCTGCAGGTGTGAAGGGCCTGGGAAGGCTGGTACTTTGCACATCCTTATGTGCTGAGAGCGTGGCTGCTGGGGAGAGGGCAGTGGGCTCAGAACACCATTGGTACAAGGCTCGTGAGGGTCTGCCCTGCCTAGCTGAGGATGAAGGCTCTCTGTTCTGAAGCCAGATGTGGGCTATGGGCTCTCTGCAAGGCAGTGAGATCATTGCCCTCAGCATCCCAGTCCTGCATCTCTGCAACAAGGGACCCAATAATGTCCCGGTGCTGTGCACCCACCTCACCACGAGGGTGTCTGAGCCCCTGCCCTGCACCCACAGCCATCAGCAGGGAGCAGTCGTCTGGTGCAATTCCTTTGCCTCTGAGAAGTACACCATGGCATAACTCCCAGCTCAGTGGTTTGTGAGCTGCTGTTAGCTCTGGAGCACCATCCCTGCAGATGGCTCCTGACCTGGTCAGGAGGGAACAGCCACAGAAGGGGAACTGAAGTGAAGCAGCCTGGAGGGAAGCAGCATCATGCATCAGGGAGGGGGCACACATTGCAGCAGCACTTTGCTGTCTGTTGTGATTTAGAGGGAATGTCTATTACTAGGACAGTTTCTCAGCCTTTTTTATCCCAGGACCGCCTCTTTGGTAGGAGGGATGCATGGAAGAAAGTCTTTACCATGAGGGTGGTGAGACCTGGAACAAGAAAAGCTGTGGGTGCTCTATTGGATGGGGATTTTGGCAGCATGACCTAACAAAAGATGTCCCAGCCAATGGCAGCGGTTGGGACTAAATGATTTTTAAGATCCCTTCTAACCCAAACAATTGTATGATTTTGTGGGGCACTGAGAGCAGTAATGACAGAAATGAGGGCGGATTTTGAATGTCTATTCATTACCTTGGGAGCCTCCATTCCTCTGAAGGAGCTCCACTTTTGACGTAGAATATGGCTGTGTGATGAGCTGCATCCATGGGGAAGCAGCAACGGTGTGACAGTGTGCATGCAGATGCTGATGGCTGGGCTGCAAAGCAGTGTGCTGAGTTCTGCCCTGGGCTGCAGCTTTCTGGCTGTGCCAGAAGCTGTGTCACACACACATCTGTCTCCTGCTGTCTGCAGGGTGTCAGAGCATCACTGCCCCGCTCTTCCCAGGGGAGGACGCTGAGCCCTGGGTGCGCCGTGGGGGCCTCTTTGGAGAGCTGCAGGTGAGATCATGCCCCTGAATACTGGGGGCTGGAGGAGCCCTTGGGAAGCCAGGACCATAGCTACTGTTCCTGCCCTGCCATTGGGTTCCTGCATGCTTGAGGGGCAGAGCTGCTTGAGTGCTGGTACTGGGGCTTGGAGTGAAACATGGGGACCTTTCTTCTGCTGCTCTAGGGCAGGTGTGGGGGGCAGAGCAAACTGCTCCTTGACAGATTGCCTCCTCCAGGCACTGCTGCCCGTGGGGAACAGCTGTGACCTCTTTTGCCATCCACCTCCGCTCTTCCCATCCCGACAGCTGTACGTCCTGCGCCCGCTGCTGCCCCAGGACAAGGTGAGATGGAACATGCCACCCTGCAGCCCCTCCTGCCCCTCACCCTGCATCACACCCTGCATGGCATAAGAAGAAAAGTGCATGCTGAATACCAACCATGGGGCTGAGGTCACAGCACAGGACAATGACAGTGGGAAGCAAACCCACTGGATCAGGCCAATGTGGGGTTAACTGCTGCTAAGGGCTGTGTCCCATGGGATGCAGCCTGCAGCGGTCACACAGCTCTGGCTGCTCTGCTGCCCTGCCAGGCTAAAAAATGCTAACACTGCAAATCCACCATCATGGGCACAGCACACACATCCCTGCTAAACACAGTGCCCTGCAACGCACGGCTTAGTGCTTATAAATAACAGAGGAGGAGCTGCAGGCACATGAGAGCAGATTATAATGTCAGACTGTGATTGCCAGCAATTCCCAGTGCAAGAGCTTGTTTTCAATTGCCAGTTGTCAGATTACGTCTGAATGCATCTTTCCATTGGAACTTTGTGGGAAAAACTCGGTCAGCACTGAGAGCAGAGCTGAGGAGTGCCTTTCTCTGCCCCTGTTGCTCCCTGAGCCTTCCTCTGAGAAAATCATGTTCTCACCAGGATGTCTTTTGTGCTGACCCTGCGAGCTCTAATGTGACCAAGGCAGGAATTTATGAGAGGGTTCCCCTTCGCACATGCTCCATGGAGAGCATGTTTTGCTGCTGTTCAGCTTCTCTGAGCATGCTCTGGGCTGGGCTGAGCAGCATTTTCTCAGGAGCTGCTGCGAGGAGGTGCCTGACTGGAATGGCAATGGCTCATTTTAAAGCACACAGTGCTGTGGCAGCAGGACGCAGCACACAATGGCTGCATGCATCGCGTCGCTCAGCGCCAGCACCCCGGGCACTGCAGCACCCACCTCCCCTGGTGCTGAGGGCTGTGGCTCTGGTCGTGTTCCCCTTTGGGGACATTTCAGGCAGCTGTGAGTGCATCGCACTGTGGCAGTGTGCATTCCGCTGTGGCAGAGCAGCGGAAGCTGAAGGGGAGCAGCGGGGCAGGATTGGGACTGAGCTGGGTTGGGCTCTTCCAGGGAAAGCTGTACCAAATGTTCCAGGAGGGTCTGGACGGTGAGCCCAGCACTGTGGAGGTCCTGGCGGCCCACCCTGACCTACTGGGTGATAGGTGAGACCTGATCCATGGGGACACCCTGGATGTATGCGCAGGCAGCATGGAAGCAGCCAGCCAGGGCCCTCCTCTCATCCCTGCAGGGAGCAACTCTGCCTGTGCCATGGCCACTGTGGGACTGTGGTGTCAGATGTGGGGCAGAGAGGGCGTATCCAGTGGGGACCTGGTAGCTGCCATGGGGATAGAGATGTCTGGTCCCACTGGTCCTTGTGGGGGTTGCAGTGTTTACACTGGCAGAGGGCATCATTAGGGCCTCAGTGGGTTGGGCGGGGTGCTGGGTGCTGCGTCCCAGGAGTGGAGACAGCAGGCAGCTCTGTGCTCCCTCCGTGCTGGGCTCAGCCCCAGCTCAGCGGTGCCCTGCTCTGTCTGGCAGGGTGCTGGGCAGCTTCCTGAGCCTCAGCCCTGAGTACACCTTCGTGCTGGAGGATGAGGGCGGCCCCTGTGGCTATGCAGCTGGAGCGCTCTGTGCTGAACGATTCCTGCGAGAGCGCGACAGCAGCTGGCTGCCGGCCATGCAGCGCAGGTACCCCCGGGAGCTGGGGATCCTGGGACAGGTGAGGGTGTGACTGTGGTGCTGGGATGGAGTTGGGGAGGGAGGGTTCCCTCACTGTGTATCGCCTGCAGGGTGTCTTGGAAGAAGCACTGCTCTTCTTCCACACGAAGCCGGTGGCTGTACCGCTGCCCGTGCTGCGACGCTTCCCCTCCCTGGTGCAGCTGGACACGGCCCCGCGGGTGCAAGACGTGGGTGCCAGCCGCAGCCTGGCTGTAAGCCTGCTGAGCGCCCTCAGAGCCAACGGTGAGCTCCGTGCTGGTGGGGCTGAGGCACCCCTGACCCACCCCAACCACATCCTCACTGCTCCCTGCCCACTTCAGAACCGGGGCAGCCCTCACTGGGGCTCCTGGCTCTGCCCCCAGCACCATGAGCTTGCACAAGGTGACACAAGGGATCCAGACCATGGTCTGAGCTCTCCTCTCTCCTCCCAGGCTCACGGGGAGTGTTTTGCCAAGTCAGTGCTGCAGACCACCAGCAGCTGAGCTTCTACAGCAAGCTGGGCTTCATCGTGCTGCCCTTGCCCTGTCCCAGCTCCCCTGGCATGCAGCTCCTGGGACGTCTCCTCTGAGCGAGCATCAGGGGCAGGCATGGGGCAGCACCATGGGGCCCCATCCTACACAGGATTGCTGGAGGGATCGGGAGTGTGGAGCTTCTCGGGCTGGGCAGGGATGTGGGAGCGTGGCCTGGGGGTGAGCGAGGTGCTCCTGGGATTTGTGCAGTGCACCAGGCTGTGGGCTTTTTGGCAAGAGAGAAGCACTTCTGCCCTTTTGGGAGATACGGGCACTGGGGACCTTCACTCTTGCTGGCTGAGCTCCCTGCAGCCATGCACGGCATCCCTGGGCTGTGCAGAGCTCCCAACCTACAAGTGTGGGGTGGTGGTCCTGGGGCACAGCACGGTAGTGTGCCAGTCCTGTGGGTGGGGCTGCCCAGCTCTCCATTCCGGTGTGGACCCAGGCTGGGAGGCTGGGGCTGGTTCTCGGCACCCAGGAGCTGCTTTGGATCAAGCTTGCATGGGGCACAGCAAGGCAGACCCAATTCTGCTGCCCGAGGACTGAAGAAAGTGCTATCCTTGCTAATAAAGCATTTGCTGGCCTCATTGTAGGTCATCTCATGGGGAAAGCATTGGGATACCACCGACTCCTTCCAGCAACCCACAGCTGCCAGCCACCCAGCCCCGTGCTTGCAGCCAGCACAGTGGGACCTCGGCTACAGCGGCAGCCACAGCTCCGTCTCCAGCTGCTCCCCGGCCTCGGACCCCTCACCACAATGAGGAATGGCCCCAGTGCTGGCAGCATGTGCTCAGCCAGGGTCCCTGCACCTCCTCTGCAGGGTGGGACCCCCTGGCAGTGGCTCCGTTATGAGTCTGTGGGGGCTCCTGATGCCAGCAGGGCTGTAGAAGGAACGTCTGTCTGTCCTGCCACGGTCGTGGAGAAAGAGTTTGGAAGGAGGGATGGAGGGACGAAGGGTCACGGGAGGCTCCCCCTCAGTCGCCGTCCCGTACCCATAGGGCAGGGAAGAGGCTGAAGAGTGGCCGAGGTACCCGGAGCAGCGGGGACATGGGCAGTTCCTGCTTTCCCCGTGCCTGGCCAGGACGCGCTGCTCTGTGCCCGAGAGCGGCTCCGAGGGGCGGCTGCAGCCGGTTCTGGCCCCGGGGGGACCTTGGGTCCCGGGGCGGAGAGAGACGGGGACCCTGCAGGGGAGGGCCGCAATGTTGGCCCCATGCCAGAGCTCCGTCCCGGGGGCAGCGGCAGCCGTGTAGCGGAGCCGCTGGAGGAGAGGAGCAGCTCGGGGGTGCGGGGTTCCGGAGCGGCCGTATCCCTCCCGTGGGACGTCCTCGCCACGAGGACTGCGGGTTGGGAGCCGGGGCTGCTCGGTGCGGGCCGGGGTGGGGGCGGCCCCGGACACGGGCAGTGCGCGGGGCGGGCCGGGGAGGAGGGAGCGGCTCAGCACGGCCCGGCACAACCCGGCTCCGCAGCGCTCGGACGGGTGGACGGAATCTGTCTCTCGCTGCCGAGTACCCGAGGGAACGAGAGAGGTACTCGCTCCCGGGGGTGCCGGGGGGACCGGAGCGGGACCTGTCCGGGAGGGGAGGGGGGAGTGGGCGCGCCGGGCCGTGCCGGAGCGCAGGGCAATGCTGGAGCTGCGGCGCGGGGCGGGTGCGGGAGCCGATACCGCCGATACCGCCGATACCGCCGATACCGCCGGCGCGGAGCGGGGCCGTCCCGCGTGGGTGCGCTCTATGGGCCGCGCGGTGGGGGTTCGCGGCTCGCACGGAGCGCTGTGCGGGGGGGGCACGACCGGGAGCGCGGAGTGAGATTCGAGGTGCGGTTCGGCTGCCGGCGGGGAATGAATGGGGCCGCGGGGGTTGCGTGCGGGGCACGACGTGTCCGTACTGCCTCAGAGCTCCGGATGTCAGCGCACGTCTGCGCGGGGCGGTGAGATGGACTTTCCCCGTCTGTGGTTGTAAGGAGAGCGCCTCGTGTCCGCTGCAGAAAGCTCGCTTTGTGTGCTCTGCCGGCAGCAGTGGATGGGGGAACTGTGTAATGTTTTAGTTGTGCGTCCGTGTCTGGCAGGGCGAGAGGATTTATGTCACGCAGACTGCGTGCGCTTTGCATGTGCTTGCTGGGAAGGGATGCCCAGAGGATCCAGCGGGTGAGAGGGTGCTGCATGTATCTCTGAGAGCGCCCCTGACTTCAGGATGCTCGTTTGCTGATCTGCATCTTAGAAAGGGAAGACAGGGTTTTCACGAAGGTGGAATTTGCTGTGGCTCTTGAAAGAGAGGATGGATGGAATGATGTGAGATGTGAGGGCTGGGGGGCCTGGGTCAGGTGGTGGTGGTGATACTGCATCCTCCCAGCCATCCTCCTGTGCGGAGCCGGACTTCTGTCTCCCAGCAGCTCTGATCCAGCTGCCTCCCAACTCACTGCTTGCTCCCCAGCAACTGCACATTCCTCTGAGGTTTCCCCCTCCTGCCTGCCCCTGAGGAACCCAGAGGAGCCCAGAGTAGGGCAGGCAAAGCTGGAGGCCCTGCTGTGTCCCAGGGAAACAGAGTGGTATTGGGAACTGCAAGGATCTGTTATGCCCTGACTTAGAGGGTGACAGCAGAGTGGGGGACATTGGGCAGTCCAGAGGGCTCAGAGTTGGAGGGGAAGGGAGGTGCAGCCCCAAGTGCACCAGAATGCTCTATCCGCAGCTGAGACTGTCCTCGTCACTGCTTGGGATGGAGGTACACAGTGCTAGGGCAAGGATTTGGCACTCTGCCTCCTGAGCAGCAAAGGGCAGGGAGCCCTCAGCTCACCGCGCAGGGAGGTGGTGTGAGGAGTTCCAGTAGTGTGCAGGGCTGCCACGGTGGTGCTGGGCTGCTCCCCAGCACTCCTAGGAGCAGTTCAGCTGGTTCCTCCCTGCCCTAGCTGTGGCTCTGTGTCCCCTCATCCTTCTGTTCCGTGGGGTCCCTGCAGGCGGCTGAGCAGGAGCTGTCATGGACCTCTGCTCCAGCTCCCCTGGACTGCTGAAGTGTGGGAGGATGATGGAGGCCTTCCAGGCAGCCCGGATTGCGAAAGGGCTGGCGCAGGAAGCCAGGCTCTGAGGCCCCAGGAGATGGGGAGGGAGCAGAACCTGGTGCCTGGAACCATGAGACCCACCAGACCTTCTGCTGGGGACATGACCCCTGGCTCCCAGAGATGCTCCACCGTGGCCCTGGAAGTGTGATCATGTCACCTCTTGACCTCCCAAGGAAAGATAAACAAAGGGAGCTACTTTCTCCTTCTGCAGACGGGTGTCCCTGGTCGGTCGTCTCTGAGCCCTTCCAGGCATCAGGGCCTGCTTTGCTCTGTCTGCCCATGCATGCTACGCAGCACTGCTGAGTCCCATGTGCTGCAAAAGTGATGTGTGCCTGGCTGCTGGTGTGCACACGCAGCCAATACATTGAGCTGCTGGGAGATCTGCTCCAGCTGCCCCTTCTTGAGCCTGTTTCACTAGTGGATGCTGGATGGCAGTCCTTGGAGCCAGCATTCCCCATGCTCAGCCCCTGCCCCCATTGTCACTATCCCTTAGTTCTCCCCCATGGCACAGTCAAGGCTCCAGAGGAAGCAGCCCCTGTGCCAGGGGAGTGGAGCAATGAGGGCAGCAGGCTGGCTAGCTGTAGGATGCAGTTCCTACAGAGGTGTTGGGGAATGGGAGCCCTCGCTGTCCACTGGGAAGAGCAGAGTGGTGGGGCTGGTTGGGAGCAGACCGAGCAGTGCTGCACCACGGGGAAGCTGCAGTGGGGCAGGGGTGCAGAGTGCCCCAAGTCTGAGCTCTGTGGTGCTCTCAGGTGCCCACTGCCAACCCCAGCCCCATGTCCACCAGGAGGTGACAGAGGCCCAGCACACACCTGGCTGGGACATTCCTGAGGTTTCCTGGGCAGGTGCAAGGAGCAGGGCTGCTCTCCAGCTCCATGGATGTGTCTGCTGAGGACAGCCTGCTCTGCCCAATGGGATGTGTCCGAGTCCCATCAGTGTAATGGGGGATGGCAGGAGTGCTCTGCACAACCCCTCAGAAAGGGGATTTGTCTGCAGCCACAGTCTGGATACGGCGTGAGATGTGCTGCAGTCCTGCACAGACCTCACCAGGGCATTCCTCGGGCAGTGGGATGTGTGGCAGAGCTGAGTGGGGTTCATGCGGAGAGATGGAGGGTTTTGTGCAGATTCAGGAGCAACTGAAGGACTGTGAAGAAAAGAAATACACAGAGCTGCTGAATGCAAGGGCTGATGAGCAGGGGGTGCAGAGCAGGGCAACACCTGGGTTGTGTCCCAGGGCAGCACCAGCTGGGTGTCAGGGTGTGGCTGGGGGTGTTTGCTGTGGGCTGGCACTGCTGCACGGCTCCCTCCTTAACTGGTGGTGTCAGGGTGTGGGCTGGGGGTGTTGGCCATGGGCTGGCAGCCCTGCGTGTGCTGGTGGATCTTTCCTGTCCATAGCAGTGTACCAAGCCCTGTGCTCATGGTGACTGTGGGCATGGGGTGGTTTCTGTGGCCACACAAACACTGAGTGTTTTCCCTGGTGTTGTGTTCTGGTCTCTGCCTGCATGCCTTGTTCCTGACTGAAGGCTGTTAAGTGTTCCTTCTGGCCGAGGACAGTGATGTGGCTGTTTCAGCCCACACAGGTCTGGTCCATTGCAGCTCTGTGCACTTTCCCCATTTCCATCTTTGCAGAACTGAGAGAGAACATCTTTCCTTTTCCAGACAAAGTTTTGCTTTGGAAAAGCATGTGATCCCCTCCAGTCCCCCACTGGTGGGTGGCTTCCCAGCTGTAGCCGCATTTTAGTTCCAGCAGGTGACCGGTTTTAATCCACTTAGTGAAAGGTGCACTGATTTTGTTGAGTGCTAATTATTCATTAAAAGGTCATGCCGGATGAATCAAATGCCTTCCAGTCTCTGCCTGTTATATCAACACAGTTACTCCAATTAACCAGACCTGTGATCTCATAAAAGGTCGCAGCAGCTTTGTGACATGGGCCATTTCTGAAGAATTGTAGAGATTAGCATTAATGATACTGCTGCCCTTCGGTGTTGCGTTGGCCCCATTGCAAAGCAGCCTGCAGTCAGCACCAGCAGAGCTTGCCTCTCGTTCATTGCATACGCAGGTGAGGTTTTGGTCTCCATGCATTCAGCGTGTGCCGCCCCGACCGGGCGTGCTGAAATGGGCGCTTTTTGGTTGGCACGTGCATGCACGTGGTGCAGTTCTGCAGATTTACATTGCTTTACTTGGGAGGGTCGGGGTGTCCTCTCTGACCCGTGGGCAAAATAAGAAACGCTTTATTACCGCCGTGCGCTGTGAAACGCGTTGCCTCCCCGCCCGCCCCCGGCAAACCCCGGCGCCTTCCCCGAGCGGGCCGGGCCGGCCTTCGGCTCTCCCCTTCTGCCTTAAGGCTGATTAAAAGGTTCAGCAAAGCATTTCCCCGCTCCCTGCCCGCAAAGTCGCTTCCCGCTGGGCCGCGCTTTGTTCTCGCAGTAGCAGAGCGGGCAGCCCCGCCAACCCCGGGGCTCCCGGGGTTCTGCCCCCCCCCCCCCCGGCGCCGTCCCCGTCAGCGCAACGCGTCCCCCACGGCCCGGGCCGTGACAGAGGACGGCGGGGCCGGAGCTGCTGCGAGCGCCCCGCAGGGGTTGGCGTCGGCCTGCCGCGACGGCTGAGCTGCGGAGCGCCGAACGCGCCCGGAGCCGGAGCGGGGCTGGGCCGCCCGTGCGGCGCTGCGCGGGGCCGAGTCGATCCCGGAGCCGGGCGGGCGGACGGGGCGCGCTCCGGTGGCGTACAGAGAGATGCTGGCAGCGCTGTTTGACGCCGGGGCCGATGCAGGAATGCCGCATCTCCTGCGGGTATCTGGGGAGCCCGGCCGTTACTGAAAGGCTGAAGAAAACGCCTCCCAGGTGAAGTGTAGCGCGCTCCGGTTGCTGCGCTGTGACGGCGGGTGGGAGCGCGGCTTGGCAGCCCTTCGCCGCCGGCAGCTCCGTCCGGGCTGCAGGGCTTGCGGTGCCCCGAGTCCCCTGGGCTGCCCGGCTCCTGTTCCAGCTCCTCCTCCTTTTCCCGCTGCCTCTCCTGTCCTCTCTCCACTCCTCCTGGGTGAGCGGGCTGTTGGGCGCTGCTGCCATCGCTGCCCTCGGTGCGGGTGATGGGGTCCGACAGCGCAGTGCGGTTTCGGTAGCAGCGGCCGCGTTCAGGGGATGAGAGGCGCGGGGTCACCAGGCAGCGCTGCTCAGCAGCAGCTCTGGGGCAGCGGGCGGGCGACGGCAGGGCCGGCACGGGCTGGGGCTGTGCAGGTGTGCTGGCAACGAGCAGAGCTGCGTGCTGAGCGGTGTTTCGGCGCGGCGCGGCTCTCCCGCACACCCTGATGCCATTTCCCCGCAGGGCCATGGGACGCTGCGGCGCGAGGGCATGGCAGGAGCTGCTGATGCTGCTGGGCGGGTTGTGGATGTGGGGCAGCAGCGCGCAGCCCACCTCCCCCAGCCCCACGAGCAGCTCCGTGCCGCCGCTGAAGTTCCGTCTGGCTGGGTATCCCCGCAAGCACAACGAGGGCCGGATTGAGGTGTTCTACAATGAGGAGTGGGGCACCATCTGCGACGATGACTTCACGCTGGCCAACGCGCAGGTGCTGTGTCGGCAGCTCGGCTTCGTGGGGGCCACCGGCTGGGCCCACAGCGCCAAGTATGGCAAAGGAGTTGGTAAGATGGGGGGTCACCAGGCTGTGGCTCTGCACATGCAGCACTGGAGCTGCGCAGGGCTCTGTCTGCACAGTGCCTGGCAGCATGAATGTGCATGCGTGTGTGCCTGCGTGCATGTGTATGTGCAGAGCAGAACAGGAACTTCTACGTGTGCATTTGTATGTGTGTGTCCATCCCATGCTCAGGGAGGCTGTGTGTGCACTGCACTGTGGGGCTGTGCATCTCTCTGGGTGCTGCGGGTGGCTGCAGGGCTGTGCTTGTGAGGGTGTGTTTAGTGGTGCAGCATGCTGAGCGCAGGTGAGCTACCAGGTGCCATACAGTCCCCCTGCTGCTCGTGGGTTCTATGTCTGCTGGAAACTCCCTCCTGCTGCCTCCACCTTCAGGCCTTCTTTTTTTGTGTGCCTAGCCCCAGTTTTGCTGCCCCAGTCCATGTCCCCACACTGCCATGTGTGGCGGCACCTCCTCTGCTCTGGGGGCTGCTGCATGGGCTCTGTCCCCCCTCACCCCATCCCCGGTGTATGGCAGGGCGGATCTGGTTGGACAATGTGAACTGTGCGGGGAATGAGAAGAGCGTCAGGGACTGCAAACACCGCGGCTGGGGGAACAGCGACTGCAGCCACGAGGAGGATGCGGGTGTCATCTGCAAGGATGAGCGCATCCCAGGCTTCAAAGACTCCAATGTCATCGAGGTGAGGGGGCTGCAGACAGCCTTCCCTGCAGTGGAGGGATGGCAGCTATGTCCTGCTGTGCTCCCAGAGATGCACCCTGGGACCAGGGTTGCATGGGATGGAGTTGGGCACTCGGCTTCTCAGTGCCATTGGAGGTTTCCTGCAGGGCTGTGGGACCTGCCTGACCCTGCTCCTCGCCAGGGATGGAGGACCTCTTCTGTGTGACACCCTGGGGAGGGGCTGGCAGAGTGCTGGGTGCTGGGTGCTGGGTGCTGGGTGCCAGGTGCTGGGCTGACATGCCTTGCAGACGGAGCAGAGCCACGTGGAGGAGGTCCGTCTGCGTGCAGTGGTGTCAGGGGCCCAGCGGCGGCTGCCAGTGACAGAGGGCATCGTGGAGGTGCGCTACAAGGATGGCTGGGCACAGATCTGTGATGAGGGCTGGGACAGCAAGAACAGCCACGTCATCTGCGGCATGATGGGTTTCCCCACTGAGAAGAAGGTGAACAGGAACTTCTACAAGTAAGTGGGGCAGGCTGGGAGCCTGTGGGACCGGGGATGGGGCACAGTGGACTGTGCTGTTCAGCGTCCCCCCAGCCTGCCCAAGTCCCACAGGCCACGTGGGCACTGCTAACCCAGCTGGGGGCCACGGCACAGCTGGGAATTACGGCTGTTGGTCTTCCCTATATATCACTGCCCAAGATGGCTGGTTTTGGTCTCTGGCAGTCATGCATTCCCATGTTTCCCTCTGGTGGGAAGTGTGGGGAACCCTGTGCTGAGGGGTGGTTTGTGCTGATCTGGGCAGGGTCGCTGCTGCAGCACCACTGCCCATTGTCCTGGGGTTTGGCCATGAGTGTGCTGCCCTGGGCACAGCTGTGGGTGTGCTGTGCAGTGTGCGGCTGTGGCTGTGCTGCCCACAGTGTGGGTCAGTGCTGTGTGCACTACTGACGGTGCAGCCACGGTGTTGCCCTGCAGGCAGCTGAAGCGTGCAGCCAGGATGAGGGGCCGGAACACGAGGCCAGGCAGGAGGTAAGGGGCTGGGATTGAGCCTTGCTGTGCCCTGGGCAGAGCTGGGCTGTCCTGCCCCACCGTTCTCTGCTGTCTGAGTGGATCCTACAAATGTGGATCTGCTTGGAACGGATTGAGGGCCTGGGCTGTGCTGAGGTGGATGACTCCATCCTGGTGGGAGTTGTCTGGCACATGTGTCCCTTGTCCCCCTGAAGAGACGCTCTTTTCCCAGGCCGGTCATTCCCCAGGCAGAGCAGCCTCATCCAATGCACTGGGCAAGTGCTGGAGATGCAGGGTCCGAGTGAAAGGCATAGAGAGGGTTGGAGTAGCCTGTGCTGCGCCATATGGGGACAGGGAGGCCTTGGGAAGGAGCTATCTCTGCAGAAAGCTGCAGTGGGGAAGCTGGAAAGGCCATGTACCTCCTATTTGCCACGAGCTGAGCTCGCATGGATGATAGGAGCTTGCTCAGCGATGCTGGTAATGCTGGCACAGTGTGGCAGCTCTTGTCCCACGATCTGCATCCGCCTGGGATCTCTTTCACCATCATTTTGCTGCCGTTCCGCATGAACCCAGGGAAGGTCTAGCTGCTCTTTCCCTCTGGCCCTGCACCGCTGCTGCCAGATTTGGTGGTGGATGCAGAGATCCAGGCTGCAGCCACAGCCCACCCTCCCTGGGCTCTGTGTGGCACCTCCTGCTTAACCCCAGCAGCACGTGGAGCAGCTGCTCTGCCTCCAGCAAACGGCTTCACCCTGGTCTCACCACTTCCCGTGGTGCCAAAGGCACTCTGCCCCCCTCCTGAGCCCTTTGCTGTAGTGCTGCCCAGCTCTGTGTCACCCGTGCTGCTCCTTGCAGCTCTGCCTGCACTGTTGATGGAAATCCAGGGGGGTCAGACTGCAGCGTCTCCTCAAGCTCTCATCAATGTCCTTTGCTGCAATTTGCTGTTTTTCCTTTGGTTGGCTGGTGCCCGTTGTGTGGGCATTTCCCATGTGGGTGGAGTGCAGTGCTGCACTCTGCCTGGTACAGGAGCAGCTTTGGGCTGATCTCAGGCTGTGGGGTCACAGAGTAATCCCAGCTGGAAGGGACTTCAGAGTTCTGGTCCATCCTCTCCCAAAACACTCAGGTCTTTATACATTTGTCTTCTGAAAACCTCTGAGGACAGAGATCTCACAGTCCTCTGCTGCAGTCCTGAATGACCCTCACTGGGAAAATGTTCACCTTGCATCTAATGTGACCCTTTTCTTGCAAATTATGCCCGCTTCCTCTTGTGCACCTCTGTCAGCTGTGCAGAGCTCCCTGGCAGCCCCGTGTCAGTGCAGGTCAGCACTGCCCTAGCACCAAACTGTCCTCTGGTTATTCCTCTTCACAGCAGTACTACACACAGTTCTCCCAGCCCCGTCTGTCCCTGTGCCCTCTGCAGATATCCTGTATGGGGGCACAGGATCCAGCTGTGGTCCCATGAGTGCTGATGGGAGCTGATGTTCTCAGCCGTTTCTGTGACTCAGGTTCTTGGCTGCCTCTGCAGTGCCCTGGGGCCATGCAGGCTGACACAGATCTGCCATGGGGCTGGCTGTGCCTGGTCCCTGGTCTCTGGGTGCTCTCCATCCCCTGCCCCATTCTGGGGCTCTGCTCTCCTGCTCCCTGGAGCTGTAGCTCTGCTCAGCATCTCCTTCCCACCAAGCAGGACAAAACCAAACGTCTGTGCAGGGTCTGTGCCACCATCACACTTCTTTCCTGCCGAGCTTGCTGGGTGTGCTGCTCCCCTTGGAGCACACAGTGACATTGCCTGCAGTCCAGATGAGGACAGGGGCACATCTCACTTGCACCCAACAGATCAAATTGTTGCGCTGTTGTTTGATCTTCTGCTGTTGCCAAAGCAGCACAGGATGTTGCTGCATGTGTCACAGTTTCCTGGGGAGATGTGTGAAGGAAACTGCATCGCTGCTGTGGAGGACAGTTGTGTCACATTGCTGGCAGCAGATGATGCTTTGTATCCACACATGACGTGAAGGGGAATGCATGAGGCTCCCTGGTGGCCCGCTTGATCTGGGCCACCTTCACGGTTGTTTTCTGTTTTCCAGGCTGGCCTCCAAATCTCAGCCTAAACAAAAGCGCAGGGAGGACTTAGGGTCCAGGAAGAGGTAAATGGCTCCAGCGGAGAGCCTGAGTGCCAGGATCCCAGCTCAGCACTGCTGAGGCTGTGTGTGTCCCTGCGCTGCTGGGACGCGGGCATGGAGCAGGCAGGGGTGGGCACCCAGGGGCAGTACAGCTGCAGGCAGGTGACACCTCTGCTCTGCTGGCTGTGCCTCAGGCTCTGCTCTCACCTTGCAGGCTGTTTGCAGAGCGGCAGCAGTTCAACTACCGCCTGCACTCGGTGTCCTGTACAGGGACGGAGGTGCACATCTCCATGTGCACGTTCCAGTTCTACCGGGGCAACTCCTCAGCAGCCTGCAGCACTGGCATGCCTGCTGTTGTCAGCTGCCTGCCCGGGCCCCTCTTTGCCACCGGCAGCGCCCAGAAGAAAAAGCAGCGCCAGCAGCAGCAGAGCCAGGTGAGCCTCGGATGGTTCCTGTGGTGGCCTACAGCTGCTGCCCTGCGCAGGACTTTATCCCTCTGTCCCTTCAGTTGGCTGAGCGTGAGGGTGCAGGGAACCTGTAGTGCAGGAGGTGGGGGTGGTGTCCTGTCCCTAAACATCATGGAGTCATGGCAGCCACCTCTGTGCTGTGCTAACCATGCAGAGCCATGCTGTGCTGCACCGTGCTGAGCCGTGCTGAGCCGTGCTGTACCATGCTGTGCTGCACCGTGCTGAGCCATGCTGAGCCGTGCTGTACCATGCTGTGCTGCACCGTGCTGAGCCATGCTGAGCCGTGCTGAGCCGTGCTGTACCATGCTGTGCTGCACCATGCTGAGCCATGCTGAGCCATGCTGTGCTGCACCATGCTGAGCCATGCTGTACAGCACCGTGTTGTGCCATGCTGTACCATGCTGTGCTGCATCATGCTGTGCCATGCTGTACTGCACCGTGCTGTGCCATGCCGTGCTGCACCGTGCCGTGCCATGCTGTGCCCTGACCCTTCTGCCCCACAGCCACGGATCCGGCTGAAAGGCGGCGCCAAGGCTGGGGAGGGCCGTGTCGAGGTGCTGAAGAACAACGAGTGGGGCACAATCTGCGATGACCGCTGGAATCTGCTGTCTGCCAGCGTGGTGTGCCGCGAGCTGGGCTTCGGCAGCGCCAAGGAGGCCCTCACCGGGGCACGCATGGGCCAAGGTGAGTGTGCTGTGGCAGAGGGGTCAGGCACTACCTTCAGCCCGCTGTGCTGGATGTGCCCTGTGGGCACCTCGATGCAGGGTGTAGGTTTTGCCCTGAGCATCTCCAGAGTTGGGGTTGCTGGGCCTGGGTCTGCCCCTGCTGGCAGCTGGGGAGGGCAGGGCTGGGTTGTGGCGATGCAACGGCTACAGCATCCCTGCGCTGCTGGCACTGAGCCTTGCTGTTCCTCTGCAGGGACAGGGCCCATCCACCTCAATGAGGTGCAGTGCCTGGGCACTGAGAAGTCCCTCTGGAGCTGCCCCTTCAAGAACATCACACAGGAGGACTGCAAGCACACGGAGGACGCGGCTGTGCGCTGCAACATCCCCTACATGGGCTACGAGAACCTGGTACATGACATGGGGGGACTGCAAGTCTGCAGGGGGACTGAGGGATGGAAGTGGTGTCCGTGGCACTTAGAGAGCATGGGCACTCATGGGACCCAAAGTAGGATGTCCCCTGCTGTACCCTTTTGGCTCCCTTGTTTCCCCCTGGTCTGGGACGAGGGCTGCCCTGGGGCGTTGGGGATCTCAGGGGTCCCATGCTGCCCTGTGAGGAGGGACGATGGGAGGGGGCTCTGGGGCTCAGCAGCACCCCTCACATTGTGCAGCTCTACCTGCTGCTGCCACATCTGCACCTGAAGCACCCCCAAAAAAAATTGCTGTGAGAAATTTTTTTGGGGACTGCTGATGAAATGAGCAAACGGATCAGCGCCTTTCAGCGTGCTGCGCCCTCTCATCTCATCCACTTTGGGCTCCTTAACCGTTCTAATACTCCACACCTGTCATTTCAGAAATGGGAATGCCATTTCGAAATGGATCTTTCTGCCTGCTTTGGGCAATGCTTCTGCACTGGGGCGCTGCTCGTGGTGACGGCGCTGCAGCCGCTGCGTCTCTCCGCAGATTCGGCTGAGCGGGGGCCGGAGCCGCTTCGAGGGGCGCGTGGAGGTGGCGGTGGGGGCTGCAGAAGGGGACGAGCCGCGCTGGGGCCTGGTGTGCGGCGAAGGCTGGGGTACGCTGGAGGCGATGGTCGCCTGTCGCCAGCTGGGGCTGGGATTCGCTAACCACGGCTTGCAAGTAGGTGCCAGAGCCAGCACGGCCAGGGAGGCGAGACAGCAGCACCACTGCTCTGCAGGGACAGGGATGCGGGGGGGGCGGTGGTGTGGGGCGGTGCGGGGTGATGACGGCCCCAGGGCTTCCTGCAGATCCGCCTGGCCGGGGGGAGGACGGAGTTCGAGGGCCGTGTGGAGGTGAAGCGTGGCAGTAAGTGGGGCACTGTGTGCAGCGACGGCTGGACCACCAAGGAGGCGATGGTGGTCTGTCGCCAGCTGGGCCTGGGCTACTCCCTGCACGCGGTGACGGTAGGTGCGGTGCTGCGGTGCGGTGGCCATCCCTGCTGCTGCTGCCCTGACAGCCACGGGGCTGTGCGGGGTGATGGGATATGGCTGATCCGTGCCGTGGGATGGGGTCTCTGTGGGTGTGTGGGTGTGTGGGTGCACAGGCCGGGGGTACTACAGCATGCGTGGCGTCCTGCCCGGCCTTCTCACCCACCCCAGGAAACGTGGTACTGGGATGCCAGCAACGTGACGGAGATGGTGCTGAGTGGGGTGAAGTGCGCTGGCCACGAGCTGTCCCTGAACCACTGCCAGCACCACGGCAGCAGCCTGAACTGCAGGAACACGGGAACACGCTTCGCCGCGGGCGTCATCTGCTCTGAAAGTGAGCGACCGTGGGGGCTGCAGGCAGCGGGGCTGCAGGCCATGGGGGCAACCAGCCATGGGGCTGCAGGCCATGGTGTCTGCAGGCACTGGTGCTGTGGGTCCAGGGGATGATGATTGAGAGCCTGGAAGCTGCGGGTGGTGGGGCCATAGGGTCGATATGTGCCCCAGTGATGGGATGGCCGTGCATTCTCCCAGCTGGCTCAGCCCTGCACTGCGCTGCCTGGGGCGGCCATCCAGCCCTGAGCTGCCATCTGTCCCCAGCCGCCTCCGACCTGCTGCTGCACGCCCCGCTGGTGCAGGAGACGGCGTACATCGAGGACCGCCCGCTGCACATGCTGTACTGCGCCGCCGAGGAGAACTGCCTGTCCAGCTCAGCCCGCCATGCCAACTGGCCCTACGGGCACCGCCGTCTGCTCCGCTTCTCCTCCCAGATCCACAACAACGGCCGCGCTGACTTTCGCCCCAAGGCTGGGCGGCACTCCTGGGTCTGGCACGAGTGTCACCGGTGCGTGCGTGGCATGGGCAGGGAAAGGCAGGAGGGTTGGGAATGGCCTGGGCTGGGTCTGATGGTGCTGGACTGGGCTTGGTGAGGGCAACATCGGCTGAGGGTGATGCTACAGGATGAGAGCAATGCCACAGGGTGAGGGTGATGCCAGCTCACAGTGGCACTGTGCAAGGCTCAGAGGCTGGGTGAGGGCCCTGATGCTGTTCTCCCCAGTTTGGCTCAGGGCTGTCCCTGGAGGAGCGGTGCTGAGGCTGGGCTGCAGGCTGCGCCCTGGGGAAACCTCCCTTGCCTGGGCCATCTGACTGGTGACAGCTGTATCCCATCCCTGGGTGAGGCTGAGCTGTGCCTCGGCCTTGCTGCGCTGTGTCCAGAGCAGGGGCTATGCAGACCTTCTTGAGCAGTGGGGGTGGGCACGTGGCTCGGGGGGTTTCCTCCAGCACCCCCTCCGCCCTTCTGCCCTCCCTGAGGGGCTGGCTCTGGGGCAGTGGGCACTGTGGACTCTCTCACAGGCACTATCACAGCATGGACATCTTCACTCACTACGACATCCTGACTCCCAACGGCACCAAGGTGGCTGAGGGTCACAAAGCCAGCTTCTGCCTTGAGGATACCGAGTGCGAGGAAGGTGGGACTGTGAGGCTGCGGGGCACCTTGAAGCTCTGGGTCCCCGCTGCATCCCCCCATGCAGGGGCTGTAGTAGGGACAAGCCATCTTCTTTTCCTGCCTGCAGATGTGGCCAAGCGGTACGAGTGTGCCAACTTTGGGGAACAGGGCATCACGGTGGGCTGCTGGGACCTGTACCGGCATGACATTGACTGCCAGTGGATTGACATCACTGACGTCAAGCCAGGCAACTACATCCTGCAGGTGCTGCAGCTGCGCCCCAGCCCCTCACCCTTAAGTGGCAATGCATGGGATGTGCTGAGAGTGTACAGAGTGGGCTGTGCCGTGGGGCTGGGCAGGTTCTGGAGCTCGCCTCTACCCCGTGGTCCTCACAGGATGCACAGCCCCAGGAGCTGCAGCACGGGGAGAGCATGCCTGCCCCAGTGCCTGGAGATGTGCAGGGCTATGCGACCCACTCACGCTTGCCCCACAGGTCGTGATCAACCCTAACTTTGAGGTGGCAGAGAGCGACTTCACCAATAACGCCATGAAATGCAACTGCAAATACGACGGGCACCGCATCTGGGTGCACAGCTGTCACATCGGTAACAACTGGGGCTGTGGCACAGGCTGAGGCACACCAGGGCTGGGAATAATTATGACTGTGGGCAGGATGTGGGTTAAGCAGGCTGTGGGGTGTGGGCAGGTGCAGAGGAAGGAGCTGGGGGTGCTCGGGACAAGCAGAGGTGGCAGCAAGGCAGCGCCAGCGCCACAGCTCTCATCCTATTGCACAGGTGATGCGCTCAGCGAGGAGGCCAGCAAGCGGTTCGAGCAGTACCCAGGGCAGCTGAACAACCAGATCTCATAGGGCCCTGGCCCAGGGAGACACCATCTCCCTCTTTCACCCTGCGTGCAGGAGGAAGCTGCTGTGGGGCTGGCGGGGGCTCACACAGCCCCATCACAGCCTGCACTGCGCGAGGGACTGCCCAGGACTCACTGCTGGGGCTGGGGGCCCTGAGCACCACACCTCCAGCCCTTGACCACTGGCCAGACGCTGCACCCCGGCTCAGGCTGCAGCACAAGGGTACGATCCGGGGAGGCCCCACCACCCCAGCTGTGCCTCTCCTGCTCCCCAGCCCCAGTTCCTCTCACCTTGCTCCACCTTCCCTGGGGCTCTGCCCTCCTCCAGCAGCAGGACCCCACCCGGGGGCCCCCATCCCTGCTCAGGGCCAGCCGCCCTCGCACCCCAGCAGCCCCATCTCCAGACAGTGTGGCTGCCCTGCACAGCAGTGCTGCCATTGGCTGCCCGGCAGCAGTTCCCACATCCATGTCTTAGTTGTAATTTTATTTTCTTGATAAAGATGTCAGTTCTATAGCCTGCTGACTCCTCTCCAGGGTGGGAGGAAGAGCAAGGGAGCATGGCCCAGGGGGGCCGCTTTGCATGGGGTAGAGCAGCTGCCCCTCTGCAGGGCAGAAGAAGGGGCTGCAGAAGCCCAGAGATGCCCCAGAGCAGCTCTTTGGGCTGTGGGAGGCCCGCAGCAGTGGGAGCAGATGGGGCCACCCTGGCTCAACCCCAACACAGTGAAGCACAGAATGCCCTGCGCCAGATGCAACACAGATGTTATGCGGCAGGAATCCCAAGCATTGCGAGCTCCCAGCAGCCCCACAGGGACTGCAGCTCCGGGCTGCCTCTGCAGGGAGCAACCTCAGAGGGGCTGGTGTGGGGGGAGCAAAGCCCCACTGAGCCAGCAAGACTGGACAGATGTGGTGTACAAGATTCAGGTACGGGGGAGCCACCTCAGTTCCCGCAGCCCTCATCCCTCAGCCAGAACCTCTGGCCCCGTCTGCAGAGAGCAGCACGGAGGAGCAGCTCGGGCTGCCTGCACACAGCAGGGAAGGCCCTGGCTGCGGCCCTGGAAAGCGCTGCGGTCAGCGCTGCCGGAGCAGCTATGTGAGAAACGTCCCAGCTATTTCCCCTGCGCGCTGCTGCCCCTCCCGCGGCTGGGCTTTGCCGGGGAACAAATTCCAGTGGCGAGGCCAGGGCCAGCCTGAAAGGAGCCCTGTTCTGTTCTCTGGCCGGCAGAAGGGGAATGCCGGGAGTGGCGCTCAGGGCTGTCCTCCGCCACAGCCCCCCACGGAAGTGAGCTTCTTTCATCTTCTAAAAACACCAAGGGTGGGCAAAAGCCCCTCGATGGGCACAGCCCGGCCGCTGCTCGCATTCCTGCCGCTGGAGTTGGGTCACTGCACAGCCCCGGGCAGCACCGCTCCCTGCTCCTCACCTCCCATGGCCACTGGCAGAGCGCTGGGGCTGGAGCGGAGTGGGGCTCTTCCAGGAAAGCGAGGACAGCCTGAGCTGCTTCTTCTGCTCCCTTTCAGCACAGCTCTTGGCTGCCAGCTGCAGAGGACAGGGAGGGAGCAAGCAAGGAAGGCAGCAGGGAAGGGCCTGTCGGGTCCCCAGGGATGCCTTTGTGCGTGGGAGCGGGAGCGCAGTGCTCTGGTGCTGACAGACAAGCTGGAGGAGGGATGGGGGAGGGAGGGAGAGACAGACGGCGCCAGTGCAGCATGCACAGCCCTCACAAGTCCTCCTGCACCTCCGGCTGGCCATACGCTGCCCCTGCCAGATCCACGGTTGGCTCAGCCATCACACTGAAGATCCTCCCCGTGTGACCAGGGAGCTGCGCTCAGAGTGCAGACACGGGCACTGACACTGGAGTCCTTGCTCCACGTGGAAGTGATTTGACCCAGAGGACATCAGCCAACTCCTAGAAGCCTTCTGGGAGCAGCCACGGCAGTGAACTCTGGCTAGGAGCAGCTCAGCCTGCACAGGGAGGCAGTGATGGCTCTCCCCATGAAGCCCTGCCCCTCTGCAGCTCCAGGGCTGCGATCACCTGCAGAGAAAGTGCCCCACACATTATGGATGGAGAAATCAGGCCACAGCCCATGTGCAGATTCTGAGGAGGTGACAGGACACCTCTCCCCTAGCACTAAGGAGATCACCGCTCCTCCCAGCTGCAGAATGACAGGAGGAGCAGGTTCTCACAGCCCAGCTGCTTGCAGGTCATACTTGGGACACCGTGTGCCAGGGAAAGGAGGCCACACGGCACCTAGAAAAGCACTTTATTTGAGCACGGAGGGGCGTGGTTTCACACTGAGTCTGCCTCAGTGCCATGCCCCCTGCCTGGACCCTCCAGGCCCTCGCAAGCTCCCAGTCTCTCCCCGATGGGCAAACAGATGTGCCTCAGTCCTGCATCCTCGGCTCCTGGCCAGCACAGCCAGCCAGCAGACAGAGCGGTCTGCACTGCAGCACAACTACTCTGTGACCTCGGGGACCACGCTCACCAGCAACGTGTCATAGCTGCGCCGCACCAACAGGGCCAAGCTCTGCTGAGTCCTCACTGCCTCGTACACATCCTCTGCACGGCGCGTTGCCTGCCCGTTAATCTCCAGCACGACGTCGCCTGCCTTCAGCCCTGCCCTGAGGGGAGAAGGAAAGAAATTCATGGCAAGTGAAGCAGACGCTTGTCTGCGGCTTCATCTTCCAGGAAGGAAGGAGAGCCAGGCACTTCAGGAAGCTGGGGCTGTTGTGCCAGGCATTCCTTCAGCTCCACAGGTAGCTTGGCCAAAGGGATGCCAAGCCCAAGCACATTCCATCAATCAGCTCCTGCTGCAGACTGCCTGCTCTGCAGGCCCCAACCCCTGCTGCTCTGCAGCAAAACCCTCAGAGCTAAACCCGTCCCACGCTGTGTACTTGCTCTCCCACCCCAAGGCACAAGGCAGCACTTACTGGTGGGCCGGGGAACCGATGATCACTTTATGGATTAGCACTCCATAGGAGACATCAGGGAAGCTGGGGTCACGCAGCTTCAGCTCAGCTAGGATGCTGCAGAGGGAAAATGAGCATCACAGTACTGAGCCAGGAAGCAGAGCAGTGCTCCCACCCAGCCAGGACCACATTTGGAGAAAAATGCTGCAGAACTCTCCTGTGCCCTTGCACAAGTATCAGCTGCAAACTCTGGGGTTACTTGAATGCCACCACCTTCCTGACAAAAACTAGTCCTGACTGTGCTAGGGAGAACTGGAAACTACTAGCACTGCTGCCAGCTGGATCCCAGCTGCTGGTGATGCATGTCCTGTGTCCGAACAGCCCCACATCAGACAGCTTTCCTGGTATCAGATTTGCACCTCCCATCCTGAAGTTTCACTTCCCTCTTCTGTGGGTAGGTCACAGAAGAAAAGTTATATCCTTTTGTTTTTGCTAGAAATGTCAAGCAGAAGTATACCTTTATCTCTCTGCTGGAGTCTAGACTAAACAATCCCAGTTCCCGCAGTATTCCCCTAGATCAGCTTTTCTAGCTCTAGCTCTCAATTCCTCTCCTCTCTCTGCTCCTTTCTGGATTCTTTCCAACACATCCAGCACTGCATACAACACTCCAGCTGGATCTCACAGCTGTGCATAATGCAAACAGCCTCAGCACCAGTTCAGATCCACTGTAACCCCAGGAAATACAGCACCCAGCTCCTTGCTCCCCACTGGTTACAGCTCCTTGCTTTGCTGCTAAACTGCACTGTACTTTTTTTCACTGAGCTTTGCAAGCTGCCACCTCTTCTTTATGTCACAGTATTACAGCACAGATGAGGTTGGAAGGGAGCTGGTCCTACACCAGCCAGAGCAGGCTGCCCAAGACTGTCCATACTGGTGCTGAGTATCTCCAAGGACAGAGACTCACAACCCCTCAGGCTGCAGGATTTGACCACTCTGACAGTTAAAAACAGTAGTTCGTTGTGTTCAGTTGGAATCTCACATATTTCAGTTTGTGCCATTGCCCCTTGTCCTGCCAATGGGAACTATCAGGACTATCAGGGCTACTGCTGACAGGAGCTGCACATTTACAGTGACTAATCTCCTTCACTTCACTCACTAACACAGAACCATATGTGCCCTTATGCAGCCTCTGTACGAACACGGTAACTGCCTCCCAGTCCCTGAGCAGCTACTGTGGAAAAGCTTCTCCCCAGTTTTAGTGCTAAGCACAACACTGTGCAGCCTGGGCTATTGCTGGGGCCAAGTCCCCACTGCATCCTCTCCCCACCTCCTGCCCACCCTCAGCTCACTCCCTGTGTGGAGCAGTATGAGCATCAGTGAAGGCCTGACACTGCATAAGCACTGCTCAACTGTAGCTAAACCATTGGTAAATGTTAAGGGGAAATGGTTTTAAGTTGAAGGTGGGAAGATGGAGGTTGGATGTCAGGGGAAGTTCTTTACTATGAGAGTGGTGAGGTGCTGGAACAGCTGCCCAGAGAGGCTGTGGATGCCCCGTCCATCCCTGGAGGTGTTCAAGGCCAGGTTGGATGGGGCCCTGGGCAGCCTGGGCTGCTGTGAAATGTGGAAGTTGGTGGTCCTGCCTGTAGTGGGGGGTGGGAACTTCATCGTCCTTGAGGTCCCTTCCAACCCAGGCCATTCTGTGATTCTGTTATCAACACTGTTTTGGTCACAAATCCAAAACACAGAACCATACAAGAGACTAAAAAAGAAATGATCACCATCCCAGCCAGCCCCCATACACAGCTCACTCAGACCAAGTACATCTACAGAGATTGTGCAGGTGAGACTGCCTCCAGCTGCCTGCTGCTCCTGAGCATGTGACAACTAGTAAGGTTCTGTTTCTGTTAGGTTTTCCACTTGCTCTTCTGAATCCTACAACATCAGCAAGTCCTATCACACACAGCATGGAAAAGCAACTCACATGTTTTAATGTTTTCCTGATAACATCCCTCACCAGCACTGCATGTTTTATGTAGAACTCATTTCCAACAACCAGTATCTCTGTTTTCAAAGTCCTTTACTCACTCCCCACATACTGCATGCTGTAATGCAGGGCAGTGGGAGCTCAAGCCTTCCTCAGCTTGATACTAAATAATATTTGAGAAGACACTTCCCCAGCTTTTTTTCCTCTCCTCCCTAAAGAATCATTTGAATCTCAGTAACAACTTTTCATGGGCAAAAATAGGGTACGTATATGGTCTCTGTTCTCTGATGAGAGCACCTGCCTCTGGCTTCTGTTCTGTTCGTATCGGTGGATCTGAACCTCCACCACAGCCTGATTTCCATGCTGCTACCTTACGCAGCAGGCTGCCCTGTCTGCTCCCCAGCGTCAGCCCCAATGGTGAGCACGAGCACCATCTGCTGGGCCTGCGGTGCTGGCAGTGCTCCTAGGTCCCCCTGCTGCCCTGAAATCCAAAGTGCGGTGCGGCTCCTCCTGTCTGTGTACCAACAAGAAGCCAGGACCGCTCATGGCATCCAGTCCACAAACTCAACCAACCATACAGGAGCCATCAGAACTTTGGCCCTGAAACACATTTCTGCCAGGAACATGGGAGCCATCAACCCCAGCAACAAACTGAGCCCTAGGGATCTTTCAAGAGCTGCTCAGGCACAAAACCTTTGAAAAGGAAGGCTGCTCACAGAGCAGGCAGGTCCACCACTCCTCGAACAGCTGTGCTTGCTGCACCTAGGAGGCAGCAGGCAGCTTACTGTGTGAAGCAGTGGCAATTCTGTCCCAGGGCTTGCAGAGCTCTTCGTAGGTCTGACCAGGGCTACCCAGCACTCAGCAAGGCACATCTAACACAGCATGCTGGGCATCTGCCCCGGGCACTGGATTTGGATCATGTGTCTTGAAGGCCAGCAGCACCTAAGCAAGCAGTCTGGCTAACCAAGCATTTCTTCAGATGTAGAGGAAACACAGTGCTCTCTTCCCAGGCTACAGACAGGAGGGCGAAGAGTCTCAGGCCTGCAGGTCATCCCCTTCCCATTTTCCAGTGCTGTCCTGCTCAGCACCACCATTTCTTTCCAGAGGCAGCACCCAACCTTCCTCCTGCCAGCCAGGAGCCTCACAGCACTGAGAGGCAGCCGTGCTGTGTGTCCACACAGCCCGCTCTGCAACCTGCCTACCTCCTTCCCCAGTAGCCAACTCTCCTGCAGGCAAACGTGCACCTTCTTATTCTGAAAGTGCCATATTCTGCCACGAATTCAGCACCACAGCAGTTCACCTGCCAGACCACTCCTCCCAAGGAGTACAGTTTACACAAATTTTACACCAAAACTTTCAGTTGGCACAATGCATATCTGTTAATTACACAACATTTCTGGTAGCTCTTTGTTCAGGTTGTGTTGCAAGGCTTCCTTATGGAACTCCTAATGAAATTACACACTGATGGGGCAGACTTAGGGCAGATTTTTATCTGCTTGCAGATTCTGCCACAAACATAGAAATTTGCAAGCTTCTAGCTTACCCCAGACACACAAACTTAAGAGTCTGAACAGAATATCAGCAAAGAGATTTTTGAATGTGAATGCTTAACCTTGTGAAGACAATCCTCTCAAAAGCTCCCAACAAGACCGGTCCCGCTGAGCTCAGAGCACATACCTGGGTGTGAGAGTCAGCATCATCACCCCGATGTAACGGCGCTTCGTCTCCGCATTGCCAAACCAGGAGCCTGTGGGCAGAAAGGACCTCTAACAACAATGCTGAAAACAGACACGCACCCAAAAAGCAAAGGGCTGAGCCAGCAAATCACTAAGCCCGCATGCCTCAAGGCAGTGATTCTGATTCCCTACCAACAGAAAATTTCAGTTTCATTACTGGCTTTATAGAAATTGCACAGTTTCTTTTTTTGGTTTAAGATATCACTGTTTTGCTCGAGAATATCATTCCATGATGTCAATGTGAGAATCAGGCAGCAAGAACATGCATTAAACAACTTAACACAAACACAAACGAACAAAAACAAGGCAGAGTTCTTGGGAACTCTAGAAGTCTTTATCTGTGGCAAATGGGCATATGGATTTCCCACGGCAGAGAGGTTCACTACTTCATGCCCAATGGGAGAATCTTCCTATTCCCCAAAGCTTCTTCCTCTTGCTATGTTTGCCCACCTCTCTGGAGAAGTGCAGGGAGCTCAGCTACG